GCGAATAAATATATTTCAGCAATCAGGTTCTTGCTTGTATCTCCGAATTCGTGCACGCGAATTTTCAGTATACAGCGGAATAGTTCTTTAAACCTGTAGACGAGTTTATCGAGTTTTCATTCGCATGAGAAAAAATCGCAAGAGTAAGAATGGTTCCCAAGAGGTTTAAAAGAGAGATTAGAGGCCAACGAAGTTTTAAGCAACTCAACTCGCGATGTGAAAGAAAAACCCATAACAACTCAGCAGATGACATGTTTGTTTGTTTACCGGATATTTTGAATTTTCCGCACTATCAAAATAATGATAATTCTAATATAATTAAATTTTTTCTTCTGTTAAATATGATCTGAATTTCCATTCCATTTTGCTGTTTTATTCTAGATCTTTTAAATATGGATACGGAAGGTTTAGTTACTGAAAAACTTTTGTGTTGGGAAAATGAAGTGGATCCTTTGGCACCGCTTACAGAAAAACAATTAAAACTTATTCGAGCCATATCTGAAATTTCTAATGATAGAGGGAATTTAATTGAGGTACACAAGGATTTGAAAAATTTTAACAAATTTGTTTTCTACTACTTCCATTTTGAGTACATAGGTTATAAGATACGTTCATAATTAATATCTTTAAAAGAATACATTAAAGTTTATAAAACAAGGAAAAAAATAACAAATGTGATCTTTAAGTTTTTGTAGGTAAACTAACCAATTAAAGTTTTGTAGAAACCTAACTTTTATAATTAGATTTTAATAAACAATATTGATCATTATTATATAGTTACATATTATTCATAAGTAAATCATAATGTCTAAAGTTAAAAAAAAGTTAGGCAGTAAATGAAAAGAAATTACATAAGAAATTACTGAGAATGTTTTCTCAGTTATGATGATATATGCTAATTTGTGCTGGAAACTACTGAAGTTACCACTAACATGTTTCTTTTATCATTATGGATAATAAGGTGACACTTTTTAGTTAAAACTGTCAGGATGAGTATGCTGATTTTTTTAGATGACATGTTTATAATATCCTTATTTTTCAAGATGACTACAAACTCAATCAGACTTGTAGANCACATGGACAAAGTTTCTCTCCTGAATGAAGAAGATAATGTGTGTTTAGATTAATTTTTTGAACCAGAGTGTCTATTTAAATGAGTTTTTCGTGCGAATGCTTTGTCACACACACCACACATGTAACGTTCTTCCTTCTAGTATGAATAATAAAATGCCTATTCAAACTTACACACCACTGCATGAACGAGGCTTTTCTCCAGTATGAACTCGAGAGTGCTTATTTAAACTACATGTACCGACAAACAATTTACCACATATACCCCATGAAGGAAATTTCTTTCCGGTATGAACAAGAAGGTTTCCATTTAAATAAGCTTTCAAGAAGAATTTTTCATGGCTTTCGTTGAATAAATAAGGATTCTCTTCAGTTTGGACACCTAACTGCCTTGCCTGCTAAACATTATCATTCCACAGTTTCTTATTTTTGGTTTCGACTTCCAATTTTGAACCTTCGAGAAAGTTAAATATATTTGGTGGTATCGTCTAACCATCTCTTTTCCGGTCTTCCTCTTAGTCTGGAGTTAAAAGCTTTCCAATTCAAAAGTTTTCTTGGATTTCTATTGTTATTTAATCTTTCAATGTGCCACCACCATGACTTTTCACTGTTATAATTTTTCTTCTTATGATGCTTAGCTAAAGGAAAGTTTTTGGGGCTAACGATTTATTTTAATAAGCTTAGATAAGCAAGGTAAAGGGGCGATCAAGCAATGGAAAAAGCTTTAAATTTTAGAAGCATTAACACCCTATTTTAGCCCACCAAAAAATTTCACAAGCTGTTTCAATGTGAAATTTTTGGGAGGGCTAAAGTGGGGATAGGCAAAATTTCTACATTTCGAGGAAAAATTCAACATTGTGGTTCCTTAAATTCCAAGTTAAAAATATATTGAGACTTGTTTAAGCCATTTTTATCGGTAGGCTTATAGATCAGAGAATATGTAAAACCAATTTTGGCTATAACTACATTACAGCAAGTGAGCTAAAAAAAACCGGAGTTGACAGATTTAAGCAGTTTTTTTTCTTCCTTTCGGTTAAAAAAAAAAACTGGCTTTTATTATTAAAAAAAAAAAAAAAATGTGCCACAGGTTCTGGGTTTGATCCTCGGACCGGGCAAGGTTGACTCAGTCTTTCATCCCTTCAGTGGGTCGATAAATGAGTACCAAGCATGCTTGGGAACTAAACACTGGGGGTTTCACGTTCGGCTGACCACCTAACCGGAACATCAGCTCCTGCACCCCAGAGCCCAAGGTCAAGAAAACTAAGATGGGTACAGTTGGCCTTGGCCCTCTATGGGCTGTCGCGCCACTGAGTTTAGTTATAGATAATGTAAAAGAACCTTGATAGCATTAATTACTACATGGTATGATTTGATGTTCAATTTTGCACTTTCAAAATTAATAGATTATGGAAGAAACAGCTTTGCATTTTAGAAGCATTAAAAACAATAATTTCAAACAACTAGAAATTACAATTATCAATTTACCAATTTTACAACCAAGTATATTTTTATTATTATTTTTAGGAAAAAAAATCTTACAGTAATAGAAAATTCCTGATAAAAAGATTAAGCACAGTTCTTGAAAAATGTTTTTGTTGCAGCAATTTAAAACACAACTATAGAATGAAATGGAACGCGACTGCAATGTTTTAAAATGATTTTAGGCTGATGTTAAAGTAAATAGGGTGAATTGGAGCATCAAATGCATCACTATATATTAACATTTTAACTATTTGTTAATAAATACCTTAAAGAAATTGGACAAAATAACGGAAACACTTCTATACTAACACATTTTTTCATATTTCTCAAAGAATACTAAGAAAACTTTAAAAGTGACAAACTTTGGAAGTTTTTAAGTTATAAAAAAATAACGTATTTTAAAATTGTTAACTTTTTAAAAAATATTCAGAATAAAAAATTTTAGCGGAGCATCGTTTATACGACGATCACTTATACGACGTTTACATTTATACGACGTTTTAGTGTAGTCCCAAATCATTCCTCTTCATTTTAATGTAAAAATATATCGTTTATACGACGCACGGAATCGGTTATACGTCGGTTTTTAGATTTTGTTCACGCTTACTTAATTTTTTATTTTTTCTTGCTTATTTTAAAAAAGGGCGGAATTTGCCAACATGAGTGATACAGAAAAGGGTGCCAACAAGAATGCTTGGATGACGATCGTAATTTTTGCTAGATGACTGAAAAAACTTGACAATGTTATGAAGAGGGAAAAAATAAAAATTTTGCTATTCATCGACCAATGTCCAGCGCACCCATCGATACTAATTATTTTGGAAAATGTAAAAGCTCTCTTTTTTCCTGCAAATTGCACAAGTGCGCTTCAGCCATTAGATTTGGCCGTGATTAGAAATCTAAAATTGCATCATAGAAAGCAGTAAGTTCAACTCGCTATTCAAAGCATTGTAGAGACTAATAGCAAGAAAATATAATTAAAGGTAACATACATTCAAATTGCTCACTGCAATTTTTCTTCTTTGGTTATTTGTTTGTTTTGCTTTGTCTAATTTAGAAATTTATGTAAATCAACACGTTAAACATTAAAATTAACTGAAAACAGAGTTAGTTTCAGTTTTAGAAGTAAAAATCGATTATACGACGTTATCGTTTATACGACGTTTTTCGGTGGTCCCTTCGGCGTCGTATAAACGATGCTCCACTACTTTTAATAACTAACCACTGAATAATTAAAAAAACACATTCAGTTTTAAAGAAATTTTTAATTTAAATATTCTTAAAAGAAGAAAAAAAAAAGATTAAAATTTTTTTTTTTATAAAAATTGAAAAGTAGAAAGAAAACAGTAAGTTCATAATATTAGTAGGTTAAATTAAAATTAGAAAGAAATTTTTTTAAATTTGTTAATAACATAAAATATTCAATGTCTGAAACTAGGAACATTTCTCAATTCTTTAAAAAAGAAAAAGCTAGGGAAAAAAATTCATTTTAATTGTAAATAAACTTTAAAATCGTACGAATCATGATTGAATGCAAGAGTAAAAAAATTGCATGTATTTTTAATATAATATTGTTATAAAAATCTATTTAGCATAATCAAAATCTTAAAGATGACAGCACGACACTAGTTTTTAATGATATCTAAGAAACGTAGGAACTTATTGGGACGGCCTTGGCCTGTCTTAGGCTGTAGTGCCTAAGAAGAAGAAGAAACGTAGGGATGGGCATGTCAGGTACACAGCTTGATCCAATCTCTTGAGTAGTGCTTTAATCACGATTGTAGTAAAGTAGTAGTGGTAGTAGTAGAAGTTCATTTGCGTCGCACTAGAGCTGCACAATGGGCTATTGGCGACGGTCTGGTAAACATCCTTGAGGATGATCCGAAGACATACTATCACAATTTTGATCCTCTGCAGAGGGGATGACACCCTGCTTCGCTAGCCCGACGACCTGCACACGAAGTCGAGCACTTTACGGAAGAACAGTTTAACGAGGACCAATACCGCACACCCTCGGTCCCTACGCAGACTAATCCAAGTGGTCACCCACCCGCACACTGACCGCAGCCAGTGACACTTGACTTCGGTTATCTGCTGGGAACCGTGTTTAAACGATGAGTCCACTGAGGGACTTGTAGTAAAAAGTATAAAGATAAAATAAAAATCTTTCCCTCAAGGGCCATTCACACTGCATATGAGTTCGGAGATACGAGTTTGGAGAGTTTCTCGCGAATAAATATATTTCAGCAATCAGGTTCTTGCTTGTATCTCCGAATTCGTGCACGCGAATTTTCAGTATACAGCGGAATAGTTCTTTAAACCTGTAGACGAGTTTATCGAGTTTTCATTCGCATGAGAAAAAATCGCAAGAGTAAGAATGGTTCCCAAGAGGTTTAAAAGAGAGATTAGAGGCCAACGAAGTTTTAAGCAACTCAACTCGCGATGTGAAAGAAAAACCCATAACAACTCAGCAGATGACATGTTTGTTTGTTTACCGGATATTTTGAATTTTCCGCACTATCAAAATAATGATAATTCTAATATAATTAAATTTTTTCTTCTGTTAAATATGATCTGAATTTCCATTCCATTTTGCTGTTTTATTCTAGATCTTTTAAATATGGATACGGAAGGTTTAGTTACTGAAAAACTTTTGTGTTGGGAAAATGAAGTGGATCCCTTGGCACCGCTTACAGAAAAACAATTAAAACTTATTCGAGCCATATCTGAAATTTCTAATGATAGAGGGAATTTAATTGAGGTACACAAGGATTTGAAAAATTTTAACAAATTTGTTTTCTACTACTTCCATTTTGAGTACATAGGTTATAAGATACGTTCATAATTAATATCTTTAAAAGAATACTTTTAAGTTTATAAAGCAAGAAAAAATAACAAATGCGATCTTTAAGTTTTTGTAGGTAAACTAACCAATTAAAGTTTTGTCGAAACCTAACTTTTATCATTATATCTCAATAAACAATATTGATCATTATTATTTAGTTTCATATTTATCATCAGATATTAGATCATATTCTTTAAACTTGAAAAAAAGTTAGGCAGTAAATGAAGAGAAATTAGATAAGAAATTACTGAGAATGCTTTCACAAATATGATGATGAATGCCATTTTGTGCCAGAAATCACTGAAGTTACCACTAACATGTTTCTTTTATTATTATGGATATAATCAGGTGCCCCTTTTTAGTTGAAACTGCCACAATGAGTATCTTGTTGATTCCTCTATTTTTCAAGATGATGTGTTTATAATATCTTTATTTTTCGAGATTACTACAAACTCCTTAAGAATTGTAGAATATGTGATATTACATTTAAAAGGAATTTTGAGCATTTTTCTTTACAAAAAACTTATTGATGTTAGTAATTTTTTATGCATTTGAAACTAAATAAATAAGTAGTGATTACAAACTTTTTTGATTTATTTCACAGTCTAATATTTTGAGCACTGCTGAAAATGTTTTTCTTTTCATTACAGTTGTTTTGATTTTTTTTGTCTATTTCTAAATTTATTTGTGTACTTCTTTTGAAATTTTAAATGTTCTAGAAGTAATTATCATGTTTCACAAATAAGAAAAAAAAAGTAAAGTTGATAGCTGATTATATTTTTTGTAAAATTTATAGCTAAATGTATTTATTTTGTAATTTTTGTATTTTTTAAATTAATTAATAATCATATTTTTACAAACTTTTTGTAGAATTCACCCAAAGATGAAATGGTATTGCTTCCTAAGATCACTTCTGTACATAATGAAGAGAAATTAAACTTCATAAAGTTTTCCCCTGATGATGTTGTAAAGTACTCTAAAGTTGAAAATGCTCAACAGGTAATTTTTTAAATTATATATAATTTTCTATTAAAATTTTTTGTCTTAAATTAACTTCTTGGAAATATTTTCTTCATAAATATGTATCTCAATAAATAATTACTGTTATGATAATATAGTTTCTAAATTGCATTTAGAAAGATGAAAAATAAATTATTTTAATTAGAAAGTTCAGGCTTACCTCCTCTGAAACATTTTGTTTCACCATTCAATCTGGTATATTTCTTTATTAGTGTCTGTGCGAGTCAACTGGAATCAAATTGCCCTTTGTCTTTGCAATAAGTTTATAAAAAAAAAATTAGTGGCTTGCCCAGAAGCTGCTACAGATTATGCTCGTCAATTTTTTTTTCTTTGGTTGATGATTTTTTTAATTTTCTATTGCCTGGTTGTCACCAAATCTTAATACAGTACAGAACCACTTATCCAGAAATCAGAATACCAGAAAACCGGAACAAAATTCGATACATTTTCCCACCATTTTTTAAAAAAATTTATTTTTCCTCAAAAGATTTCAGAATTCTTCTTTCTTTTTTAAAAGATGTTTACCATCATTTTAGAAATAATCATTAGTTCCCTACACTGTCAAAAGAAGTAAGAGTTTTTTAAAATTATTCTAAATATATATATATATTTTAGTTGAGTTTGGCAATAAAATAATGGCTTTTTGTAGCGATTCAGAAAACCGGAAAAATCAGTTATCCGGAATAATGATGATCTCGATCGTTCTGGATAATAGGTTCTCTACTGTAGCCATTTACATGTAGGTATTGATATTTAAGAGGACCCCAACGAGAGAAAATTTTCGTCGCGAATTATCTTTCTCCTTTATTACTAATTTAATTAATTACTTCATTACTAATTTAATTAATTACTAATTTAAAGTGTAGAAAAAGTAAGTTCAAGGAAACCTTGAGTTAAGTCATGAAGTTTCTATTGCTGAAAAAAATACTTCAAAATATTAAAATGCAAACTAATTATTAGAAGAGAACTTCTCCATTGTGTGATCTTAATTTATCTTCTCATAATTTATTTTCATTTGTATATTTTAAAATTTTCTTTTCAGTATTTGAAACTTCATGGCTTACTCTAGGTTTGCCTGAAATCACTTTTTGTATACTTTAAATTTTAAATTAGTAATGAAGGATAAAGAGAATTTGCGACGTAAATTTTTTTCCCAGGTATGGCTTTCTCTTAAATCTTCTTACTCTGTCTTTGTTGAGTAGAAATAATGAATAAAAAATATCTCTCATCACTTCAAAAAATTTAAAAAAGTTATCACTTCAAAGTTAAAAACTGAATATCTACTAAGCCTTTTTATCCTCTGATGTCTGTTGGAATTTTTATTGCAAAGTTCATCTCAATAATTTATGTAACAAAACTTATTGCTAAATTTAACGGGGACCTATGTACATGTGTGTATTTTTTTTTATTTTTAAAAGTAGCTGAGCATAATTGATTTCCTCTTTGGGCAGCAAAAAACATTGTTACCTACTGTGCTCACTTATGGATGCTAACTTTTCTGTATATTTTGATCCAAAAGTTTCAACTTTAACTGCTTTATTGACCCTTGTTGATCCAAAAATGGGTATTACCAAAATAAATAAGACATGTAACTAATAACTGTTCATGAAGTTTTATTGCAATTTTCTTCCTTCATTATATTTACTTCTTTAATATTCAGCTAGGCATGATGATAAATATTATGTGTGTTTTTAATATTTATTGTACAAGTATTACTAATTGAAGAAATTTAAAATTTTGACTTAATTAGTATTAAAAAGGAAATTAGAAACTTTTTTATTAACTTGTTTACAAAACAGTTTTGAATATACAATCATGCTTGTAAAAATTGTAACACTATGAAAGAATTATGCAAATTGACCTGAAATTACATGAAATATAAAGTGAGGTAAGGCATGTAAATGATTAGAATTACAAAGCCTGTATCACTATTGTCAGTGTTTTCATCATAGAAAAAAAATGGGTGAGAATTTCTCACCCTTTCTCAAAAACAGGGTGAGATTTCAGAAAGTTAAGTGAGATTTCTAAAAACTGAAAANAGAGTGGGAACCCTGTATTACCAAAATAAATAAGACATGTAACTTATAACTGTTCATGAAGTTTTATTGCCATTTTCAATTTTCTTCCTTCATTATATTAACTTTTTTAATATTCAGCTAGGCATGATGATAAATATTATGTGTGCTTTTAATATTTATTGTACAAGTATTACTATTTGAAGGAATTTAAAATTTTGACTTGATTAATAATAAAAATGAAATTAAAAACTTTTTTATTAACTTGTTTACCAAACAGTTTTGAATATACAATCATGCTTGTGAAAATTGTAACACTATGAAAGAATTATGCAAATTGACCTGAAATTACATGAAATGTAAAGTGGGGTGAGGCATGTGAATGATTAGAATTACAAAGCCTGTATCACTATTGGGCATCTTTATTGTACCACAATGTGGCATAAATTTTTATTTCCAATATTACCTTCTTGGTGTTGTAATTTTCATAAACATTATTATATTATTACCTACCAATACATTAACTTATAATTTTTGTTTAGTTTCTGTCNTTCTCGCGCTGTAGTGAAAACACTGCTATTGTGCATCTTTATTGTACCACAATGTGGCATAAATTTTTATTTCCAATATTACCTTCTTGCTTTTGCAATTTTCCTAAACATTATTATATTATTACCTACCAATACATTAACTTATTTTTGTTTAGTTTCTGTCATGGTTTACTTCCGTTGAAGAACAGTTAGTTGAAGATGAAGATGTTTTATTTAAGTAAGTTTCAGCAAATTGCTTTGAATCTATTAAAAATTAAATGTCATCTCAAATCAAATCATTGATTAGATGAGTGAGATATTCAATGTTTTATTTAATTAAGTTTCCTCAAATTGCTCTTAGTTTATCAAAGTGCCATTTAAAATCATTTTATTAGATGAATTAGAAATCCTCTATACCTTAATCTAATTACTTACATAAACAAAATGTAAATTATGTTAATTGTTAAAGAAAGTGTGACTTTTCAAAAAATAATTAATGCTTAATTTGTTATAGATTTTATCTGGAGGAATTAACTTCTCATTGTGGGCAATATAATATGCTTTTTGATGAGTTATGTCAAGTTCTTGAGTCTTTAGAAAATCTGAGGGAAAAATATACTTTTGTGTCAAATAAGACGAATTCCTTGCATGAAGCTTGTGAACACCTTTTAACGCAACAGGTTTGCTAATTTTAATTTTTTGTATTAGGCATTTATGTCAATAATTTTATTTCTTTTATGAATTTTGAAATTAAATGAAAAGTATATAGAGTAAAAATGTCACTGAAATAAAATCTTGTGCTCCAAAATATACTAACTGGCAATTATTTTTTTTTAAACTTGTGCTGTTGATTTGAGTTTTAGGTTAATTTTATTGGTTAGGCTAATTTTTAAAATTAGATTGCAATTTTTCCTATTTTTTTAGTTAATACAGTTATGGGTGGTAATTGCAATAAAAATGAAAATGTAAACAAATAGCTGAAATTTAATCTTGTCAATTTCCAGTTAAAAGTTTTTAGTTGTTTGAACCATTGACTATGTTTTTATTAAAACAGATATATAAGCAAAGGAAAAAACTTAAAAATTCCAATGATTAAGATGTTTATTCCTTTATCAACTCGACTGAAATTTAAATGCTTACAAACTTAAGACTTTTGTAGATTACATCCCTATAATTTGAATTTTTGTTGAAATTTTTTTTTTAATATCTTAGATGTAAAGGTAAATATTTCACACAAATTTTTATTTCAGACAAAGTTGGTGAGCTCTGCTGAAACAATTTCTGAAAAATTAAGCTACTTTAATGAATTAGAATCACTGTCTCAGGTAATTTTCATAAAACTTCAGTTATTTTTATTGCCTTACGTCAGTGTAAATGTACTTATATATTATTTTATCTTTCAGAAAATCTCATCTCCAACTCTATCTGTTGTAAATGAATCATTCATGCCTTTATTGTCACGTCTGGATGAATGCATTGTTTATGTTGAAGAAAATGTAATTATCACTTCATTTTAAATATTTTTATGAATTATAAATTAATAAATTAATTCTCCAGTTTCTTCATCAATTGTTATAATTATATCTATTTCATATGTTATATTTATTTTGTTGTGTATTGATTCATTATTTTTATTTTGTTTGATTAATATTTTTACGTATTGTAATTGATCTTAACTTATTTAGAAATAATCTTTATTTTTAACAAGTAATGGTAAGTAATAAATACATTTAAAAAAACAAATCTGAAAAAAAAACTAAAATATTATTGAATATTTAAAAAAAATACATTTTAGCATTTTTAATTTAGCAATTAAAAATTAAAATAATTTAATAAAAATGATATACCAGTATAATGTTGTGCTGATCAAATTTTAGATCCCATATTCAAAGCTATGTTAGTTTTATTCATTAAATACTATGCCTATTAGTAAGAGATGTTTTCTATTATTTTCTTGAAGATTTAAAGATTACATTTACCGAAATTTTAGAATATATGTTTTCAAAAATTGTACTTGCGTTATTTCTACAAATTAATTTGCAGAAATGCTCTTTTAGTATTGCTCAAAATATTTCTTTCATTTTTTTGTTGAAGCATAAATTTTTTTGGATGTAGTAGCCCTAAATTTATATATATTTTTTGGCTTTGGAAAATACATGTATAAAACCTTTTGGTCAAAACTCCTAGTACATATGACTCAAGTTATCAAAAATGTTTTAACTTTTATCCATTGCAAATTTTTTGTTATTAGTTACAATCATCATAAGGTGAAAATGTTTAAATTTGGGCTTCATTTTGGAAAACAGTTTGAAATAAGTAAAAATGTCATAATCTAACTAAATTTATTTGACTTTATAACTAATAGTCTCTTTAAAATTGTTAGAACTATTAATTTAAATATGATATCTAGTGTAAAAAAAATATTTTTGATTACAAAACTAATATTTGAAGATTTATTAAATTTTGTTGGTTTTGGTTAAATCCACTAACAACAGAATGGCTCCTGTGTGTTTGCAGGCAGTGTGTCCCCTGACCAAGTACTGTTCTACAAACACACATTTATATATTTTATTTTTAATTATTAAGAATTTATATCTTATTTCTAGTTTGTATGATACTTTTTAACACTATGATTTCTATTTTTTTTTGTTGAAAATTTACTTTTATTATTTATATATTTTTTTATTCTTTTAAACTTTTTACCTTTTTCAGATAAATTACAAAGAATCACCTGTGTATCTGGCCAGATTTAGGCACCTTCAAAGTCAAGCTTTGGGTATGATTCGTTCCTATGTAGTTGCAACATTACAACAAGCAACGCAACAAGTTTTGCCCCGCAGAGACAGCTTATCACCATCTGAAAATGCCTTTACACTCTATTATGGGAAATTTCGATCTCACGCGCCTAGAATCCAAGCTTTAATGAAACAAATTGAGGAAAGAGTTGAAAAAAATCCTGAGTATGTTGCATTCTTTTTTATTATAAACACATTGATTCAGAATTAGATTTTCATGAGGATACAATGTATTTTTGTAATGCATGATGTGTAGTGTTTTTGAAAAGTGCCTAAAGGTGCTTATTTTTGATTTTCGTTTATTAAAAGCCCTTAAAGGTGCTTTTTTTCATAGGGTGTTTTTAAAAAGTGCTTACTTTTCCTTTTTCAAAAATGAGATTTTTTCCTTCACCGCGTCGATTTTTGCTGTGTATTATGCAGAAGTGTGGTTTTCACTTTGTTTAATTCAATGTTTCCACAAATCATTCAACCACAATCCATTTCGGCAGACCGTCGACCCGCGACATAGGATAGCACCCCAATCATGTTACATGTTTGATGAAATGCTTCGGAGTCCGCATGTTTATCTACTGCGCTGGATTCGGTGAGATTCTTGCTCTCTCACGTGCAACTCTGCTGCATTTTGCAAGATATACTCAATTCCAGACTTTATCTTCTGCCCTCTGATATCGAACCGAATAACCTCTTGATCATTTTATAATGGATAATATAATCAGGAAAAGAGTTCTTTTTCAGAAACTAGTTATTTTATCATGATCATTTAAAGTCTTAGTATTTTGTTAATGTATATAGTGCATAAAAAATACTTAAATGGTGCTTATTTTTTGTTGAAAGATTTGGCTACGCACCCTGTTATAGAATTCAAACCATTCAAGAAACCATTAAAAATTTCGGGGGTTTTGCCAGTTTAGTGCTTAAAATATGTTGACTTCATTTAATTTACATCAACAGTTTTGCATAATGAATTATTTTATTATTTGTATTGCCATTACAAAAATTCAAATAAGTATTATTTTTTAAAATAAAAATATAACTGAAATTTTTCTTGGATTAAAAATGCAAATTTTGAAACTTGTTTTGCATACATTAAAAGTTAAGATAGACCATTGTGTGCCTGGTATCTGATGGAGGTTACGACTCCACAATTTCGTGACAAACAGCATGATGGTGAGAATGTGGTCAGAATTGCACACGAGCTGTCTTTAGTGCCCAGACAATTATCCACTGATCTGAAGCCGGCTGCGCTCTAAGTCGCCACTGGGGCCACTTACAATGACAGATCAGTAGTTTAGTCGCTAAGCTATGACAGCTCTTGGCGCATATTAAAATTGATTTAAGCGAGTAGGGGATTTATAAATCATTTATTAGATTTTTTACCATAAATAGAAGATGCTATTAACTTCGTTATTTGCACATGATTTCAATTTTTGAATTATTTTGTATGAATTTTAGAATTGATAAAATTGAAATAGTAGTGCTTAAAAATCAAACAAAATTTGATTTTATTTGTGGTTAAATTTTTACTAGTTTTTTATTGTTTTTTCTAGTGTTGTTCTAGTTCTTTTTTTTTCTAATTTAGTTATACTCAGCTTTTATATGACTGCCACCAGTGCTATTTTCAACAGAGAGAGCTACTCTTAGGCCCAAGTGTGTCTGCAGCTATCAATGACCTAGCTGAAAAACATCAGAAAGATCACTGTTCCCTAGTGAGGAGTGGCTGTGCATTTTTGTTACATATTTGTGAGGATGAACACCAATTATTTCATCAGTTTTTTTCACATAATACCCAATTTTTAGAGTAAGGGATATTTTTTTTTATGATATTGTATGCAAAAAGGAAATTTTTTTGTTAGCTGTGAATGTTCAGAGAGATTTCCTTTTTATCTTTATTTACTGTCTTTAATCTTTGAAAAACTGTAATTTAGTGTTAAATCATTTTTTTAAGAAATTGTTTTAAAAAATGTTTTGGGGAAAAACATCATAATTTCAAGTAAGTTTTTTTGTGCATTATGTCAGGGTTGATAAATTGTATAAATAAGTTGGCCTTTTCTGAAAAAGTTATGACTGTCTGGTTTCTTTTAAACAAAAGGAAACCGGCTGTTATTTAAAAAATCCGGCCAAAGTAAAATTAATAATACCCTTTTCAGAAAAGACATTTAATGCTGTGACACATTTGATTATGTCATAGATAAATGGCAATAAGAAAAATAAATGTATTAATACATTATTTTTTCAATATTGTTTTTGCATTTATTATTTCCTATCATAATTCATTTTTATTCATTTATTCTTGCTTAAACTCCTTCGCATAATTAGTAACAATTTTGATGCATAGTTGATTTATCATTGTTAGTAGTTTTAGTTTTAAGGAGCTATTTTCTGTTTTAATAGTATTCATAATTTAATAAAATTATGTAGTTTTTTTATTTTTAAAAAAAATGCTATATTTATACTTTTATTGTTATTCAATATTTTTATCAGGCAATTTCTGGAAGGTTTGTGCATACGATTGTATGATGTGCTTCGGCCAATAATTATTCATATAAATCATTTAGAAACACTAGCTGAGCTTTGTGGGATTCTCAAAGTAAGTTTTACAGACACTACTTTTAAATAAATTCAAATTCTAACAGGTTATTATTTTCTGATTATTACCTAATCATAATTATTATTTTTCTTATCATCTTGACTCTATAATATAATAATATAAGATGATTGCTATTTTTCTTGATAAAATAAACTGTAAATTAAAAAATAAAATAAAAATGCTTGAGTAAATATTATATGAAATATCATTTAAGCAATAGCATGAAGCAGTGCAATATAGGGGAACACAGTTCATATTGAAATAATCTTGATTCAGTCAAATCTCAACAACAACCGAAACTTGAAAAGATAGATAAATAAATTCAAAGTATTGAAATTCAGTTATTAAAAATTACATACTATTAACTTTAGATTGAAAAGAAAAGTTTTTTTCTTCATTATTTTCATGCCTTTTTAAAAAGTTATTAATCTTTTAAAAATTCACGGGAAAATATTATGATAAAAGATGTCCTTTATCTAAAAGATATTCCTTATTTATTTATATATTATGAAGAAAAGATATTCCATTGTTAGTTGCTTATGAAACAACTATTATAGTTAAAACTGTTTCTGAATGGAATGTGTCCTTTGATATATTTGACTAACTTTCAACTTAAGGAAATATCTGTCCTTTCAAAATTTCTGTTTTCTGTAATTTTATCTGGAAAATCTTTCTCTTGTATTTGTAGAAAAATGTTCAAACTATCTAGGAAGAAGCAAAAAAGAGAAAAAAATTTAAAACCAGCAAATTTCTTTTTAGTTTAAGTGCATTAGAAATTTGGAGGGAAATCTTTTTTTCTTCAAGGTAACGAAAATTCTCCAAATCTAGGTTTGAGACAGTGAGGTTTTTCTTTGTTGTATTCTCTCATCATGGGAAATTGTTTTAATATTTCGTGTATAACTTTGCCTTAAAAGTAAATCAAAGCATGAACCATACAAAGTATTTCTTTATATATTGTATGATTTTTTACAGTAAATCCAGTTAATGAATTTTTTTCTGAATATAAACTTAAAGTGATTTGAGATAGCGTTCAATTGCTAAAATCAATAGTATATGTGAAAATTTAGTTTACAGTTGAAAATTCAACACTATGTACTAATAGTCCACCAATAATAATACATAAAATAATGAATTTTTTGAAATATCTTTACATCCTCTTTTGCATGGCTGGTCTTGCACTTAATACATTTTACAATTAATTTTGAATATAATAAGAATATTTTATAATACTTAGGATAAATTTTTGACCAACATGTTTATTAGTAAATTTTAATTGCTTTCATGGGGCATTGCAAGTAATTTGCAGGTAGCGAATGCTTTGTAATTGTTTTGTAATGTTTTTTTTAGTAGATAAAAAAAATATTGTGGTGTATTTTTTATGAATCCTTTATTTTTGTTACTTTTACAGGTTGAAATGTTGGAAGAACACATACAGTATGGTGGTAAATGTTTAAATTTTAAATACTTTATCATTGTTTTACTACTACCTATTCTTATTTACTTAAATTTCTACATTATAATTAATTTTTGATTTTAGCAAATGAACTTGAGGCAGTAAAGACAGCCGTTCATCAAATGTTAGAAGATGTGCAAGAAAGATTAGTATATAGGACGCACATATATATAAAAACAGATATCTTGAATTATAATCCGGGTCCAGGAGACCTTGCGTATCCTGATAAATTGGAAATGATGGAAGTATGCATTGCAATTCTTATTTTCTTTAGATTCAACTTAGTATCAAACTCCAATTATTTAAAAATGGACTTAATAATACTCATTCTTTTATATTTTTAAATATGTTTATGTGGAATATGTGTTATGTTTCAATCCTGTAAATATGTAACCTAATTATTTATAAATACGTTTTGCTAAAATTTTAATTCTTGTAATTGTCGCAAAAAGAATTTTTTTTTGTTTGAGTTTTCCATTTTTATTCATGTAAAAAGTCTTTTTTTTTGTGCAAAAGCAGTGCCCCAATGAATTGCTTTCTTTAACTGCTTAATGATTGTATTATTTAAAAGTGTCTATTTTTGAATCAGGGAAATCATACAAAACTAAGTGTATGTACAATATATGTATTCATTTTTAATTTTTGTGTTAATCTCAACTATACATGTTTTATGAGTGCTGGCATATAGTTTAAAATAAACTATCGCTGAACACACTACAAAACGTCTGTTACTGCCACCTGGCGTATAAATTGAGAAATAAACATTATTAGAAGTATAAGAAATAGATTGTTTTTATCTTTTGGCTCATAACTTTTGAACTCTTCGGCCCGGAAATATCATGGGCGCGAGATATCGAATGTTAAACTTTACTCCGTTATTTTAACAGACTTAAAAAGGAAGGACGCCCGGTGGCAGAGCGGTAGCGCTTCGCGCTCTCGTTCCACAGGTCCTGGGTTCGATTCTTGGGCCGGGCAAGGTTGACTCAGCCTTTCATCCCTTCAGTGGGTCGATAAATGAGTATCAAGCATGCTTGGGAACTAAACACTGGGAGTTCTGCGTTTGGCTGACCACCTGACTGGAACATCTCTTGCACACCAGAGCCCAAGGTGAAGAAAACTGAGATGGGCACAGTAAGCCTTGGCTCTCTATTGGCTGTCGTGCCACTGAGTTTAGAGTTTAAGAAGGAAGGGGTCAAAGTTTGTCCTAATCTATGTTGCTAATCATAAATAAGTAAATAAAAAATATAGTGATGTGAATTGAAACTTGCAAATTCTAGAAGTGTATAAAAAATGTGTGTTTATTATTTCCTCTCTTAGTGTATTTGCAACTCTTAATTAATTTTAAAGAAATCATCAAAATTGGTTTTAACTTTTTAATTAAATTATGTTTCACAATGTAGAAAAGGCAAAATTCTGCATTAATGAAAACATGTATGCAAGGGGAATGTCAAGTGTTCCTGGTTTAGCAATCTGATTGTTGATTAGTTTATTAATTGCACATTGTATTAACCAGTTTTTTAAGAAATAAATGCTTAGGAAAATGCACTGTTGAAAATGTATTTTTTCCTAGCTATTTGTTGTATAATTGTGTTACAATTGTACCAAAATGTTACAATATGTCAACCTTTTTTTGTTATTTTTGTGCAGCAAGATTATATTTTTTCAATCAGAGGGAGCAGTGATTCGGTTCCTTCTTCATTCTGAAATATATTTTACTCGATCATAAGCAACTTTTTCAATCCTGATTGATTTGAAATAATAAATTAAACATAGTTTGTAAAAAGTGATAATTATAAACATTGCTTTAATTTTGTTGTTAATTCATAATTATTAATTTATGTTTTAAAAATTACATATCTAAATTCAATTTATGACTTTTTTTTTACAAACAGTGTACTTCATATACTAGGGGTGTTCCACCTGTGGTCAGAACTAAATGACGGCCCTTGGATGAAAAATCTGTGCTCTCCTCCTGCCTTCCAATTAAAAATTAACTATAAAAAACTCCATCACAAGCACAAGAAATTTTATGACTGATTTTACTAAAAGATATTCCTTATTTATTTATATATTACGAAGAAAAGATATTCCATTGTTAGTTGCTTATGGAACAATTATTATAGTTAAAACTGTTTCTGAATGGAATGTGTCCTTTGATATATTTGACTAACTTTCAACTTAAGGAAATATCTGTTCTTTGAAAATTTCTGTTTTCTGTAATTTTATCTGGAAAATCTTTCTCTTGTAGAAAAATGTTCAAACTATCTAGGAAGAAGCAAAAAAGAGAAAAATATTTAAAACCAGCAAATTTCTTTTTAGCTTAAGTGCATTAGAAATTTGAAGGGAAATCTTTTTTTCTTCAAGGTAACAAAAATTCTTCAAATCTAGGTTTGAGACAGTGAGGTTTTTCTTTGTTGTATCCTCTCATCAAAGGGAAATTGTTTTAATATTCCGTGTATAACTTTCCTTAAAAGTAAATTAACACATGAACCATGCAAAGTATTTCTNTTTTCTTAAAAATATACTTCTATGTTAAACTAGCATTGAATCAGTGTTCTCCCTAAGTATTTTTAGAAAGCCAGTCCATACTTTGATCCCAATGAATGTGCCCTCTTTGCCCTTTTTGTGAAAATAAGCTGCTATCCCTTAAGAATACTGCTATTTATTCAAATTCTAGTTTGAAAAAAATTAATTCTCTGTTTGAATACTAATTACACGTAAAATTATCTGTGTTTATAGGTTTAATTCTGATTACTATTACAAGTATTTACTCTGGTAGAATTATTCACAACTGGTTAAATTTTTATAAGTGTCTCTTTCTTTGGGAGTTGGGGGATATTAGTAAATTTTTTAAGTTGTTTTAAATTTTAAAATTATTTTTCTTAAATAAATACCTTTTTTTTTAAATGTGTTTTAGATGTTTATTTTCTCATAATTTTCACTTTAAATTATAGAAGGAAGTTAAAGTCAAGTTGTATATCAATTAACCTTCTTTTCAGTTTACTTTTTTTGAAGAAAATTTATTCACAGAGATTGTCTTTTAGCATGCCTTTAATTATTTTTATAAACTGCAAATTTTTCTCTTATTTTGATTATGAGAGAGAATTAGTTTTTTAAATGTGCTCTTAAAATAGTATAAGAGGGTCATTTAAGAATTGTCGAGAATAAAATTCATTTATTACATAATATTACAAATTTTCATAAATGTTTACGGTGTTAAGTCCTTTAAAAATTTAAACTGCTCTTTTTCATTCCTAGGGAGAACTCTGATTGAATATTTGTATACTGTTGGTTTACATCATTGCCTTCATTCTTATTCTTAAACATTTCTTATGTATCTTTATAAATCTTTCAGAGTATAGCTGAAAGCTTATCTTTAGGAGGACTAAGTCGGGCTAGCTCCCGAGCTTCCTTAACGTCTCTGAATTCTATCAGCAATGCAGTTTTAACCGAAGCCTCAAATTCATCTTCTGCTGATAAAGGAGAAGACACAAATTCAGTGAAGGATTTTGAACCATATGAGCCGCCTAAGAGAACAATAACTTGTAGGAAGAAATTTTCATTTCTTTTATTTTGTTGCTAAAATCTTTTGCTATACTCATAATTTACACACTGATTTATCTAATTTTAAACTGCTTTTAGATTCTCCTGCTGATTTGCATGGTATGTGGTATCCGACCGTGAGGCGTACTTTAGTGTGTCTTTCAAAATTGTATAGGTGTTTAGATGTAAGTTTGTTTGGCTAAATTACAATTTGTATAGTGTTTAAATTAAGTATAAATGAGCTAGATAATTGAATGTATAATATGTATAATGCCACTGTGAGGAATAGTATAAGTTTTAAATAATGTTTTTAAGGATGATTAATTTTTGTGAATTGATTAATCAAAGATATTAAAATTTGCAAACTAAAAAAATAAATTGTTATGTAACTCAGTTTCAAAATGTTATGTTTTAGTTATTAAAAAATCATATTTTATATGTTATAATTTCTTTAAACTTAATATTAGGTTTAAACTTAATGGATGCAATTAAATAAATTTTGTTTTTAATAATTTGGTAGTTCTGCTTATGAATGTAAAAAATAATTTTTTATTAATTAATTTTCTTGTTAAGTTCTATTTTATATTTTTTTCAGTTTATTCATTTAAAATTTTTTTTAAATTTTTTTTTGGATAAAAAAGGAATTTAAGGGTTGAGTTATAATTAATTGCAGCCAGTTTTTATTCTTCCATTTTATGATTTGGTCTTAAAATCTCCATAAATTTCATTAATTTTTGTATTTTTTTAGAAAAAGGTATGTATTTTTGTTTTTGTATTAGGTTTAGGTTTGTATTTTTTTTAATTTTATTCATGTAATAGTTGATTTTAAATTTTTAACATAACTCAATTTTTTTTTTATATTTCAGAAAACTATATTTCAGGGTTTGTCTCAGGAAGTTTTAACAATGTGTATTCAATCATTGATTTCTGCCAGTGCGACTATCAGCAAAAATAAGGTAACACACTTTTAAATAAGAAAATTTTTGGCATTTTTATAATATAAATTAAAAATGAAAAATATTTCATTCACTTTTTTTTTGTTAATCTTTTTCAGACATTGTTAGATGGGCAGCTTTTTGAAATCAAGCATCTCTTGATTTTAAGAGAGCAAATAGCACCTTTTCAGATTGATTTTGCTATAAAAGAAACAACATTGGATTTTAGTAATGTTAAGAGTAAATATCAATTATTCATTACATTCTGTAAAGATAAAGTTTTGACACATTAAGTATTCATTTGAATACTTCATGGTTCAAAAAGAAAATATTTATATGAAAACAAATTTTTGTCTTCAAAATAATCATTAAAATATTTGTTAGCTTATAATTCATAGTTATAAATCAAAATTTCTAATGGTATCAGTAATGTCTTGATCCATATCATTTTTTGCATTATTTATATACTTCATTTATTTATAAATTTACAAATCCATAAACTCATTTATAAATGTTGCAGCAGTTTCAAAACTTTGTTTTAATTAAGTTGATTTTCAAAGCTTGAAATATGCTTTCACCCCAGAGAAATATTATTTAATACCATGTAACTTTGCCTCTGGACTTAGTAAATTTCCTTTTCTCTAATTATGGATTGGATCAACACTCTGAGGTTACCACTAACATCAATTAACATATTTATTTTGACGATCTGGATATCAGATGTCTTCTTTTAGTCATCAGCTTATTACTGTTGACTAAGCTGTTATAATTCCTATTTTTTCAAAATGACTAGACAAGAGATTATTGGACTGTAAGAATATGTGACTGGTTTTATGAGCACTCAAAAACCTGATTATTTATTGAATAGCATTTGCACCAAGTAATTAGTATAGTTAAGGTTATCTCTTTTAATCAATAAGATTTCATGCTAGTAGGTACATAGTTTGTTCATCAGATCAAAAATTCTAATGGTGTTCTATTCTTTATTTTACATACTAGATATATATGCAACTCTAATTCCGAAAGATTTGATAACGATCTCCATTTTGAAATGAACATTAAGAGTAAATAAGGGGGAAAAAATTTGTCGTGTTTGATTTGCCTGAAAATATTGCTTTATTGCAGTTAAATATATTTTTTTTATTCTTTTCATTTTAAATCAAACCATTGAATTAAAACTTATTAAAGATAATCTATTTTTATCTTAATTTCTACAATGATTTAAGATGAAGTCACTATTTCATTACAATTATTTTTTATTAGTCAGAATAAATTTTTTTTTAAGAGTGTGAAAAAAAGATTTAATGTTTCAAATTTTTATAATATCAAGGAAAGTAAGAAATAATGAAAATATTCTAGGTGCTTAATTCCACTAAAGGAAATTGAAAAAAATTATTTATTAGTATTTTAAAGTTGTTTGAAATGCATTAAAAGACTAAAAGTTATTTTGGAATCACGTACTCTTAGAAAAAAACTTGAAAGGTTGAAACTTTCGATTGTATTTATCAAAATGTAATATATTATTACCAAGAGAAATGATTAAGAGTTATTAAAAAATATAGTATAGATTAAGGTATAAAACAAATTCTCCTTTTATTAATTATTTAACTATTTCTTACTGTAATATATCTTTCTTTGATAATATAATTATATCTTACAATTTCGTCTCAGATATATATATTTTGCATCCTTACTGAAATATCCTTTGTAATCCATTTGAATTTTATTGTAATGATTTTTAAATAGTTTATTAATTTCAGTGGCTGCTTATAGTTTACTCCAGAATCGAACTCATTTATTGTCAATGAACTCAAGTAATGCCATTTTGGAATTCTTACTTCAGGTAAGAGGCATGGTTTAATTTCTTTAATTTTTTCATGTCATACTTTTGATTTTATTTACTTTTGGTAGTGAATTTTAGGTATTATTTATAATATCTATAATATATTTATAATACCTATAATATATTATTAGTAATATATTATTGGTATTTTTTTTCCATTTATTATGGCACTGTAAAAATTTTTGATAAAATCTTACTGTTAATATCATGATAAATTGTTTTTTATATGAAATAATGTTGACTAAAATAAAGTGATTTTTAACACTTAGTTTTTTATTGTTCACCCAAATATTCTTGTTTCGCATTAAAATTCACATTTTAGGGTACGCCACATGTTATAGAGCATCTTATTGATTCCAAAAAGGCTGTTGACAAACAATTGAAAGTTGTCTGTGAGGAATTCATTTCCCATACTGTTACATTTCTTATTGGATCTCTTCAGGAATTTCTTTCAAAGGTAAATATATAACGAAATGTTTCAGAATTTTTTTTTTGGAAAATTGTTCAATTCTCGCACTATTGTGATTTTTAATTTAAAATAATAAATATTTTTCTTTCGATTTTTAATAAGCATAAATTTTTTTTATTTTTTACTCTTTTTCAAACAAAATAAAATGAAATAGTTTGTTCTACAGAAAAGTGTGTAAAAAACACAGAATTTTTTTTTAATTGGCTAATTAAAAAAAATTAAACCTAAATTTTCTTTTATTTTTTTTGTTGCTATTATTTACTACCTTTCTCTTGATTAGCTCATTTTCTGTGTATAGTTTCTAATTTCATCATAAATGATACTTGAATCATTTAATATATGTGTTCTTTATTTTTGTTTTTAAATTGTTTTATTATATTAAAACTCATATAAACGGAAGCTTCTTGATATTTTAATATTTTTGTTAATACTTTATTTAAAGATTCATATTAATTAAATATTTTCATAAATTATTCATTAAAGATTAAACATTTAGGATTTTAATTTTGTTCTTGTACCTTTGTATGAATCAATGAATAATATTTCCCAAGCATATCTTAAAATTATTATTTCTCTCTTGTTTTTTTTAAATCTTTTTCATTCTTATTTTTTTTTTTGTATTATATACCCAGGTACTATTCCTATCTACTATCTCACCTACTTTGGTACTTGTTTTGATTTGCCTTTTAAATGTGCTTTTTTATGATAGTGTTTTATTAAAGTGCCAAAATGGTCATATGCTTTTTGAACTTGTTTCTTTAAGATTTTTACATTACTTTAATAACTTTTGAACACATCGAAATAAGATTTAAAGTATTAAATTTGTTTTAAGAATAAAGAGTGTTATGTTTTATCGATTGAATTTATAATGTGTTTCTTTTCTATATTTTGATTGGAATTTTTATTTTGTTTGAGATTGATTAAAAATCATTGCTAGTTCAGTAGGGAGCCGATTATCCGGAACGATTGGAACCATCGCTATTCCGGATAACTGATTTTTCCGGTTTTCTGAATCGCTACAAAAAGCCGTTTTTTTATTGTTAAACACAACTAAAAAAAATAATTTTTTNATAGTTTCTAATTTCATCATAAATGGTACTTGAATAATTTAATATATGTTTTCCTTATTTTCGTTTTTAAATTGTTTTATTATATTAAAACTCATAAATGGAAGCTTCATGATATTTTAATATTTTTATTAATACATTATTTAAAGATTCACATAAACTAAAGATTCATATTAATTAATTATTTTCATAAATTATTCATTAAAGATTAAACATTTAGGATTCTAATATTGTTCTTGTACCTTTGTATGAATCAATGAATAATATTTCCCAAGCATATCTTAAAATTATTATTTCTCTCTTGTTTTTTTAAAATCTTTTTCATTGTTTTTTTTTGTTTTGTTTTTTTGTATTATATCCCCAGGTACTATTCCTATCTACTATCTCACCTACTTTGGTACTTGTTTTGATTTGCCTTTTAAATGTGCTTTTTTATGATACATAGTGTTTTATTAAAGTGCCAAAATGGTCATATGTTTTTTGAACTTGTTTCTTTGAGATTTTTACATTATTTTAATAACTTTTGATCACATCGAAATAAAATTTAAAGTATTCAATTTGTTTTAAGAATAAAGAGTGTTACGTTTTATTATGTTACGAATTTATAAAATGTTTCTTTTCTATATTTTGATTGGAATTTTATTTTGTTTGAGATTGATTAACAATCATTTCTAGTATCTTAAATATTAGAAATGAGGGTTCTATTAATGCATAATATTTGCACACTTTTAAGTTTTTTAAATTGTAATGCTTTATTTAACTAGATGGCATTGCATAAAAAAGAATCAAAGTTATCTGATAAAATATTACATGGTATAAATGAAATATGATCTGGATTTTCATTGAAAGTTACCTGATATACTTATAAAAGTTAGATATTTTTTTTCTGAAATTGAGTGGAAACCCTGTTTAAAATTAGCTAAGTCACAAACAAGCTAGTAATTAAAAGAAGTAATAAATTTATAGCTATATTTAAGATGGAAAAAATGTTTTAAATTTTTTTTTATTGTTTGAAGTTTTCGAAATTATTGTAACCAAAACTATTGTAAACTATTATACTGCAGTTTTGCTCCCGCCAAAAAATGAATATTTCCGACATCCATGGTACAAGTACATTAAATGCTTACTGCTATACTTTAAACTATTATAAAATCTAGCTATTGTAAAAATTTGAATGAGATGCTAAATTACAATTATTTTAGAATGCAATTTAAAAATTATGTTGCACATCATAAAATGGCTAAAAAATTATTTGTCTCTTTTTTACATTCTGTGTCTCAATAATGAACTCCTTTTTGCCTTAACTGCAAACATTTATAAAAGATTGATTGTGTGTTAATTATTTCAAGATATAACTTTAGAATTTATTAAATAGTTGAAACAGCTTCATATTTTTCAATCAGTTGAAAAATGTCAAAATTTTAATGCAATATTATGGTTATTTATTATTTTAGGCAAAAGTTGTTTCTGAACTCCAAGCTTCATCATCCAATCAAAATATTAGTCTTAGTCAGCAACCTTTTGCTAATGCTGATGCTCTATCTCAACTTATATCTGATAATATTCGGGGATTGAAATCTAAATTGCCTACTTTACACAGATGCATGTCTCTGTATTTAGCTAATCCAGATACAGAATATATTTTATTACGTCCTGTAAAGGTAAGTTCTAAATAATGCTAGTTATTTTAGAGAACATAACCATTTGTCATTGCGTAAATTTTTTTCCAGCTTTTTTTCTCCTTTTTTCCAAGTTTTCTATTGTGTTCAAAATATCTTCTCATTATAATTTTTTTTTATGGTTTTTAAATGTTTGAATCTAAGTACTATATTTTATAAATAATGTAATATTGAAACTAAAAGACGCATTTTTGAGGTTTTATGTAACTTTTTAAAATTAAAATATTTTAATAGTTTGGAAAAATTATTAAGTTTTACTAAATTCGTTTCACAGCATTCTGTTTCTATAATACTGCAGTAATAAACTTTTAGTCAAACATCTCTGGCTGCGGTCAGTAAGCGGGTGGGTGACCACTTTGATCAACCTACATAGGGACCAAAGGTGCGCGGTATTGGTCTTCGTTAAACTGTTCTACCATAAAGCATTGGACTTCGCCCGCAGGTCGTCGGGTTACCAAAGGGGAGGAGCCATCCCCTCTGCAGAGGATCAAAATTGTGATGGCATGTCTTTGGATCTTCCTCGGTCACGTTTCCCAGACTGTCGCCAATAGCCCATTGTGTAGCACTAGTGCGACTTAAATAAAATACCTACTTGCATACCTACCTATTAGTTTTTATTATTAGATTATTTATCTGACATTGCCAATAAATATCTACCTTAACCTTATTAACTGCCTTAACCTTAGTGTCGTTAACCTTAAATGTTAACCATACTAAACTGCCTTAAACAGTATTAGAGCTGTCCTATATGGTAATTAATAAATCCATATATTTATAGAGATATGGGGCACATAAATGCAAAAAAGGTTACGTATGTTACCTATATTGAACTGAAATATATATTTAAGACATTAGAATTGATTTCTAAAATATTTCTTTTATTTATATTTGAAAGTATTAATGATAAAATTTTGTTTTATTAGAAAAATTTTCTTATGCATTTAAGTGTATTTCGTTCATGCTGATAAATGTTAAAACATTGATTTTTTGTTGTTTAGATTCAAATTCAAAGTTGTTTCGAACAACTGTTGCAGTTAATCCGAGTTAACTATTCGGAAGAAGAACAAGTAATTATTGCTTGCCCTTCTTCTGAGCAAGTAAGTGTTTTATTGCCTCATAAGACTTTCATAATTTTATTTTTCTACTATTAAAGAGATTATCCCATTTTTATTTGATTTTAACTTGTATATTAGAGATGTTTTTAATTTATTTTAAAAAACTCTGACATCCAAGCTGAACTGTTTCTATCCAAACAATTTATTATCTAACATCTAAAACATCTCTATATGGATTTTATATAAATTTTTACAGATGTAGCAAAACACAATAATATGCTATTTGACGTTATTTCAGAAAATTTAACTATATCTCAAATGTTGCTTCTGAATGCTAGCTCTGTTACCTTGCTCTTTATTTTATTTTAGACCAAGCTAATCTTAAGTGGATAATTTATATTATACCGTTTCGCTTAGTTATATATAAATTAGGCAAGATTCACATTAGGCAAGACTTAATTGTTCTTAGTCACATGATTACATGCTGAAGAATTCAATATTTATTTCTGATTGATATTTTTACACTTCAAAACACGGTGGAATGACTTTGCAAATGTAATCGCAAAATCATTAAAAAAAAAAAATAAAAAAAAAAATAAGCAGTATTCTCTTAACATTCTTGGACTTAAAATAAATGCCAGTGCTCAAAAATAATTCTATGAATGATCAAATTGAATTGAAATATGGGATGTTCTGGAAAAAAAACATTGAAGTATACAAATTAAAAATAAATTGTATGAAATTTACTTTTTCTTTGATAACTAAAGTAATATCTATTATTCTTAAAACTATGGTTTAAATAACTGGCTGCCTATTGGTTATTCCTGTTATACCAGATGTATTTGCTAAGAGCTGAATCTACTCTCAGTTGTTTCCCATGTCAAATCGACATTACCATTAAACTTATTGTGACTAACTGTTGAGTATTTAAATGTTTAAGGAATGAACTTTTTGTCAATTTTCATCCTGATCTTCCATCATTGCTTAGCGACTATTTTCATTTCAATCTTATGAAGTTTATTAAACCAATAAGATTATATTCACTACTTCTATAAAGTGTAATATTTGCTTGTTACATATACCCATTTATGGTTCTCGTGCCAATAAATTCCACCCAACTAATTATTATGTTATTCTCAAACTTTTCAACTCAATAAAACTTTTATTTTAAATTTATCATAAACTAAATGTGCAAATTTACATTTCCGTAAAATGTTTTCAACTTTTTTTGTATATCGAAACTCATATTTTCAAAAACAGTTAATTTTACTTAACCGCACAATTTATTTTATAAAATACGAGTTAAGGTCTTCACATTAGCTAGAATACTACATTTTCATTATTCACGAGTTAGATTTTTTTCTGCTTTACAGAAGCATAAGTAATAAAGTTTATATTATTATAAATATTTTTTTTTATTTTTAAATTATTTGTTAACAGTTCTCTTGCGGTATCTGTATATAAAAAAAAAAACAAAACTGTCTGCTTGTTTTTGTAATTTTTCTGAATTCTATTTGCCAATTTTTTTTTGTAAAAGTGAATTTTCACACAAAATGACAAATTCTACTGAAAACTACCGATTTAAATAAAAGCTTTTCACATATCATTTATAATAAATATCTCTAAAGTATCCTCTCCATGTTCTCCACATATTTTAAACATATTTAGCACGTAAAATTTTCCACCAAATAAAAAACAAACAAACATTGTTCTTTTATTTATTTTTAACGAACAATTTATGTTCTAAAAAACATTCAAATTATTTTAATGTAAAAAAATGTGTTATGATTAATGTACTAAGTTACAAGTTTATATTTTATAAATTTTGCTGATTGCTCTTTATCTGATTTGCTCCTTGGGTTTAATTGCTTAAAATTTTTCTACCCAGCACAAAATCTCTTTTGAATAGCATGTGCAAAAATTAGCATTGCATGAAAGAAAGCAAGTATCTTGAACCATGAACCAAGTTTAGGGTTGAGATTTAAAGAGTTAATTTTAAGTTAAATAAATTTTAATGCAGATGAAATGATCTGAATGCATAGCATAAATACATACCTAATAGCCTAAATGTTTTGACTGAAGCTATAGAATTAATTTTGAATGCTTCTCTTTTTACATTATTTATTTACTTCATTTATTATTTTGTAGTATAAATAAGTTACTGAATTATTTTTATCTTTTTTTTTCAGCTAACTATTTTGTTATCTCCCAGTATTACGAAATGAGAGATCAACAAAATTCATTTCACATCACCGTGTCCAATATTTATTTCCAAATTTATTTCATTATTCAATTGCTACTTCCTGGAAAATAACACCTAGTCATTCTTTTCAATCAAGTATTCATCTTTGCTATAGAGCTTTCAAGTTAAGGACTTTTTGAAACTACAGAGTTATTGGATTCATCATTGTATTCTAGTGAGATTTTTTTTTTACCTGATTGGTTTTTGAAAAATATAATGAAACCAAAATTTCATAATAATTGATTCTTTTTATAAATTTCAATTCTTTTTAACATCTTATAGATCATTATAATTTATAAGAAATAGTTTTGCTATGATTATTATTGTAACTGTGTGGATTTAATTATACTTTTTACATAAATTATTTCTAATTATATATCTTTATAAATAACTTACAATAATTTCATCATGCGTGCAATGTAATAAATCATTTTTGTTGTTGTTTAAAGGCATTAGTTCCAATTTTGTGTTTTCACTAGTTAATGTAAACAAGTTGCATTTTTGAGTTACTCTATATTTTGCATAATTTATGTAAGAGAAAAGATAATGTTTAAACTCACATATATTATATTATTGCAGTTAAAAAAAAGCATGCAGGTTTCAATGCGGTTGTGGACACTAATTTTCATTGCACAATAAAGTGAAGAAAAGAATGGTGATGAAAAGCAACACAATTATATGAAATAAATAAAACATAAAATTGATTTAACCAATAAGAAAATGAGGATCGAAACACATAAAATGCACCAGTAGTTCCATTTGTTGAACAATGGAACAACCAAAAAAATGGAAGGGGAAAAAAAGTATCCAAAAAAGGTTTCCATATATTTGAAAATAAAGCTTCACAGAAGAGCAATTTTTTAAAAATTTATTATTTTTGATAATATGCTATCGAGTTACATCAGATACCGATATTATACAGATACTTTATTATATTATGTTATTTTAATAATATAATATAATATTGGGTTATCTTTGAAATGAAAGTCTAGCATATTAGTTAACTGAGTAGATTTTACTTACTATCTGTCTATTCTGCAGAGCAGTTAATGACAAATTCACTTACATAAGTATATTAAACTTTAAAGTATAGGAAAAGTGAGTTCTTGTAAATGTAGAGTAAACCATGTAGTTTCCAATACTGAAATTGTGTTTTCAATTGTGATCAAACTTCATAAATTGAGGGAAGTGTTTATGGTTATTTATGAAAGGGATGCAAGCGGTTTGTTAGTTTTGTGTTGTTCTTTGTTGAAGCTTCTTTAATCTTTGAAATAAAGCACTGGGATGCTATTATATTTTGTGTTTGTTAGATGAGAATATTTATTTTTTAAAGTTTTTGAAACAGTTTTTACTGTTATAAAATTGTTTGTATTAAATTTTTATTTAGATAATTTTTTTTTACAAATTTACAGATTATTTTTTATTTAATGAGATTAAAACTTATCATATTTATTTTATTGTTGAAACCTTTTAGTTTTTTTAAAGTTAATTTTGACTCTATTATTCTATTTGCATCTAGAATTAATTTTCTTTCTTCTTAATTTTTCCTCTTTCAAGAAATATAATACTTTTGATTATGCATCAACATAAAATGTGTAAAAAACAACTACCTTCTGCGACTTGTATATGTGTAAAACATAAGAGCACAGACATAAATTTCAATGGTTTGTATACTTTAGAGAATCTTTTATATGTATATATTTTTGAATAAATATTCTTAAAAATATAATTTGTTCTATATTTCATACGAAATTTGCACTGTTTTGTCAATACTTATGGTACTTTTTTCTGTAAGAAATTACACTTTAAACTATTGTTTGAACACAAAAAATATTGTTTCAAATATATATATTTGAAACAATATACATATATATGTATTTGAAATATATATATATAAACAACTTTTTATTCCATTAAAGTTTTGTTGGCTGTAGTATGTGAATTGTAGAAAAATCAAAACATAAACATAACACAGTAATTACAACTTTAATATTTCTTTAAATGCGCCGCAAAGTTTCACACATTAAAATTAGAACATAGTAAATTGCGGAAGTCTTCGATCGTGGAAATCGATCATCGATATGAAATCTAAAAGTTACTCACTTTCTGCAGTGTAAAAACCAAAAACAACATTAAAAGCAACGATAAATGTATCGTTTTATTTGGCAGTGAATTTTATGGCAGTATAGCGCTATATTTTATGTATAATATCACTCTCTGCATTCTTTTTCCTAAGAAATAGCTATATTTTCTCTCTAGTGTTCCAAATAATATTTTCAAAATGAGTATCTTTTAAAATAAATCAACAACATTGAATTTGCACTTTAGATTTCGTGTTTCCAGTAATTGCACTTTATATTATTATAATATGCGTTGAAAAAGCGAAAATAAATTAAAAGATTAGTTGATGTTTTCACAAAAAAAAATAAATGACAATGATCCTTACTGGGCTTCTTTTTCACTTGTTGCAATCCATATAGAATTGCTAAGCAATGTGATAAAAATAATTTCTCATTTTCTTACAATGTCTTTGTAAAGAATTTGAGTAGTTTAATTGCAAAAGCTTTGAGAATGCTATTTCTGATATGACAAAAAAAAGTATTTTTTCCTATATTTTTTAAAAGTACTTATAAAGTACCATGGAAGGGTATTCGTCTACAGACTCTGCACCTTGAAATACTAGTCAATAAATCACCAGCCTTCAGTGTTTTAGGTTCAGGAATGTTAAATTGCCTGTGTTGATGAACAACTGCTAACCAGAAGCTGTAAGCAGTGGTGTAATAGTTGCATCTACCCAATCCTTGGCATTCAATGAAGGGATTAGGTCGGAATTCTTCCAAGCAAGATCCTGGAGAAGACAAAGGTTGTCCACTACCTTCTGCTCCTGAGTCGGTGTTCTATTAAAAAAAATAATTTTTACTATTTGGTTAGAAACAGTTTTTTTTAATTTTTATGGTGAGTTTCTTATTTGTTTTTAATTTATTAGTTTTCACTTTTTTTTGTATCAATATTTAACTACTTTTAACATGGTGCGTAGCGTTTTTAAAAAGTACTTAAAGGTGCTTATTTTCAATTTTTGTTTTTAAAAGCCCTTAAAGGTGCTTTTTTCATTGGGTGTTTTTAAAAAGTGCTTATTTTTCCCTTTTCCAAAAAGAGAAATTTTTTCTTTACCATGTCGATTTTCGCCACGTATTACTCAAAAGCATGCTTTTCACATTGTTCAACGCTTTCACAATTCATTCAACCACAATTTATTCCGGTGTACCGTTGGTCCATAGCGTATGAAAGCGTCAATCATTTTACATAGGCCGTGATAGCCTGGTCGGTGGATCGGGGAAGACTCCGTGTAGTAAATGGTGACTGATGCACGTTAAATCTGTCGAGTCTCTTAATTTAAGTCCTTCATGTTCCCATAACAAATCAATACCTCTGGGAGTACTGATCCAGGAGTTTCCTTGTCTTCTGGATTGGTTCAAAATTACAAGGCTACGGCGTTGAACATTAGTAGTCGTAAACCCAAAAATTGGATCGGGTGTTTAACGGCGGTCATAAAAAAAAAAAAAAAAAAAAATGTGTTTATGTTAAATGTTACATGTTTGATGAAATACTTGCGAGTCCGCTAGTGCGTCTACTGACCTGGATTCGGTGAGATTATTGCACTGTCATGTGCAATTCTGCTGCATTTTGCAAGATATTCTCTATTTCAGGCTTCATTTTCCACCCTCTGATATCGAATCGAAAACTCTCTTGATCATTTTATAATGGCTAATATGATCAAGAAAAAGTGTTCTTGGTCAGAAGCTGGTTATTTTATCATGATCATATGAAGTCTTTGAAAATTATTTTGCATTTTGTTAAAGTATATAGCGCTTAAAAATATTTTTTGAGTGCTTAAAAGGTACTTATTTTTTGTTGAAAGATTTGGCTACGCACCCTGTTCAAGAAGCCATAGAACATTCGAGGACTTAAGCAGTGATTTAGAGGAGAAGGGTTCCAGTACTCAATTGGAGTGTTACTTCACAATTTTGAAGAGCTGCAATTTTGAAGAACCTAGGTTCTGTTCAAGGTGGCGTCATGGAGCGAAACCAGTTTCAGATCAATTTTACTTCTCTGGGAAGTAAAGGCGGCTTCACTCGATGCCATCATGCTGTTCTGTTGGTCTCAAAATTGTAGAGCCTAATATCTATGACCCTCTGACTGGCTGTCGCAGGAATGCCTTTAGCAATAATGCATAAAATTGCTATTTTGCCGGTAGATAAAAAAGTTGGTAGATTTCCTCATAAAATTAAATAATTAATTTTATATGTATTATAAATGAATTCGAAAACAAATCGAAAAATGAATCAGTGAATAATACACAAATCATTTGTAATAAAATTGAACGTTTAAAAATATGCCTTTTGATTTTTTTTTTCTAGTTCCATTGTTGTTTAATTTTTTATCCTATTCAATTTATTTTGATTTAAACGTTACATTTCTGTCAAACAAATACTGGATATGAATACCTATGTTGATTTCTAAAAGTGCACTTAATTAAACAATTGTAATCTGTTTCCTAGTCTTGTATAATTAAACGGTTTTGTTTTAGAAACAAATTTAGCAGTTTTGTTTTAGCTGTTAACGATTTCTGATTTTAATATTAAAAAATAAGAATTATTGGGGAATAAAAACTGTACAATATTTTTACAGATTGAAGCAAAAGTTAAGTAGGATATTTCTGTTTATGAAAAAAGTTTATAATCTCATTAACTATTTATGATTTTTTATCATAATTTAAACCTATGCTTACCATGAAAAAGCTGTAACCTTCCCAAAGTCCGTCCCATCCATATGGGCAATCTGGGATTTCAATACTTTGACTATGGACGGCTATTACCTGACAAAAAAATAAATATATTTCAAACCATATATTTTTTATTTTTTAAAATCATTTTTAAGTAACAGGTTTATTAATAAAAATTTAGTAAAAATTAGTAAGTTTAATATTAAGCTTTTCCTTCAATGTGCAATAGCTGCTTTTTATTTTAATTTACATGTGTTGGGCAATGTAAAATTAATTAAGGAATTGAAATGATAAAAAAAAGAAAAAGAACATGCTGCTGTTTATAAACATCATTGCAAAGATAGCAAAATTGTTCTATTTTGTCTATGGAGATGATTCTTAATGTATTCTTTAATTATTTTTAATTGTTTTTTATTACTTTTCAATAATTTTTTATTATTTTTAATAATTTTTTATTACTTTTGTATTACTAATTATTATACTTACCACCAATTTTTAAAGTACATGTTAACTTTTCTACCACTTTTGATTTAGGTTTCCATTTGTTAATAACTTCAGCTTTCTTGAAGTGCGTTCGAAAATAATTGGCAACCATTTTTTTGTATAAGAAAACTTATAAAAGTTATAAAATGCATAATTCCTCCTAAAGTTTGTAGCATTTATAATATTTATTTCATAAATAAAGAAAAATAAAAGCCTATAAGTTCCTAATAGGTCGTGGTAAATATACTTACCACAAGAAAAAAGAAATGGCATTAAAATTTAAATTAATTTTCTTTAAGCTAAATTATTTCTTTTCTTATATCAATTACTATTCTTATATGAATTTCAATTCCAAAAATTCTTTAATTTACCTTTTCTAGAAATAAATGGCCCACTAATGGGTTAATGTGTAATAATTTTAGCTGACTTTGTTAGTAGTTTTACTTAACTATACGTAAAGCAATCTTTTAATCTTGACAGTTCCTTTCTATTGACAGTTTTGAAAAATTATTTATTAACTGTTAGTTTAAGTCACTTGTGAATCATGTTATAAATGAAAAACACAATTTGGAAAACTATTGTTATTTTTCTCTCCAGACAATTGCAAATATATTCTGTCTTTATTTGCTAAATGGTAAGAATGTAAATGCTTCTCTATAAAAATAAATTACGCTCTTACTATTTTTCATTAATGCATCTGAAATTTCTTCCCCTTAAGTTAAAAGTTTGAACAAAGAAAGTTGTGCTATGGTGGAAAAAAGTTTGAGGCCCTCTTGTTAATTTTTAAAATAGATTTTATTTAAATCAATTGAAACTATCGTTACATCAGAAATTGAACTATAAGACCTCGTGTCTTTAATATAAATTATGCTTTAATTCTACTTCTCAAGCATGGACTAAGAAAAATGCTTAAAAAAATTTGTGGAACATTAAAAATGTTTATGAAATGCTTTTTAATCAGTTTTAATGATGTGTCATTTTGTTTGTTAAAACCGAGTAACTTCCAAAAGAAAACTTGGAGAAATTTTTTTCCCAATGTTTTTGTTTGTTTGCATTCTTAATCGAAGCTCTAAAAGCTTTCTTAAATTTTTAAATCAAGATATTGTTGACTGACAGCCTTTGTTGTGAACAGAAATTTATGGATTGAAGTTTTACCTTTATTAAAACTTAGTTAATAATTAAATTAAGATAATAACAAAAATTTAAAATTAGATGTTAGACTAGTAGTTCATTATTTTTTTAACGGGATGAAGTTGTTGACGTGAACCTTAGTGAAGACTATATTAATAATATATTTTGAAACATGCCCAAATCTTAACTGAGCACACCTCTTTGAATGCGTTTCGATATTTGCGAAGTTCCTTGTTGTAAATCATGACAGTTAGAAGTAATATCTTAACCCATCTAGAGCTTCGAGATTAAATTTTTTCATTAGTAAACATAAGTTTACGACATGAATTTTGATTCATACTGCACAACTTGCTTGAATGTTTCGTTTTAGCAGCTTTTGTTTTTCTTTTAATTTAGAAATTTTAAAAGTTTACATGCTTTTTTACAACATTTCATGCTTTGTTCTAAATGCAATAAGAAGTTGCTGGGAGGATGCTATTGCTGAAATTGCAAATTCATTAATCACTGCTTTAATGATGCGACATTGATAAGTTAGCTTTGATGATCACTTGTTTCTTTTTTCTTCTATTAACCTACAGGATTCGACATTAAATTGTACACAACATGTGAATTTTGGCAGCAATTTGTATTCAAGTTCATTCAAGTCATACTCAGAAAAAGCAATAATTTAATATTTTTCTTTATTCGTCATTATTTGAAGTTTTTGGAAGCAGGGCATATTTGTTAGTTTGTTTCCTAGGTTTTTCCAAGTTTTATGAAAGAGGCCTCAAACTTTTTTTAAGTTTTTAATTCTTTACATTATCGGATATTTGTATGAATTTTATTAAAAAAATTAAATTTGTTTAAATATATTCTTAAATAAATAATTAATCCATTGCTCAAAATTTTGCAAAAATCGTTTTACGAAAGAGAAAAAAAATTGCGGTGATTTTAAACTTTTTTCAATTATAGTGGAAGTGTAAAATAGAACAATACTGTATTGAATAAATATTTTTTCTAAAACTTACTTGAGTGGAAGATTCACACACAGAGCATCTACTGACATATCTCTTTATGTTTCTACCTGTTATGGGTGCCATATCCATTGGCATACTTTCCGAAGTGCTTAACCAATAGCTGAAGTCACTGCGTGAAGCCATGTGGCATACATTGTTTATATTGCAGAACATGTATGGCATTGTACTGAACTTCCTCAAACAACTACCAGGGCTTCCTGTAAATTGCGATATCAGTATATTTATTCTCATGGTATTCAAAATGAAGCATAATCTCAGTTTTGATTTCAGTAGAAGAAAAAAATTTTCAGAAACAAAATGTTTTCTTTAAAGTTAGTAAATCTATGTAAGTCTGGGGAAATAAAATAGGAACGTAGCCTTTTATCTTATATATTTGTAATCTAACCGTGGGAGGTTTTCGTGGTTTTCTTTTGAATTCGAATTTTGTTCACGTCTCGCACCGATCACAGTGCTGATGTAGAAAATACCTTGTGTTAAACGGATCATGAGTTAGCCGTCGGGCTAATGTTGCGTGGTTTTTCTTTTCATGCAATGAAAATACGGGTTAGTTCCATTGAAAAGTCCTCCATGAAGACTTGTTTGTCCAAATGTTTGATCCAGGAGTTTCTTTGTCTTCTGGGGTTGCCTACGGAGGTGAACTTTGGTACTGTAAATTCAAAAATGGGTCGGCCGTAATAAAATAATTTATCAACATCTAACGGTTATAGTTGTGAGCTAATCCCTTTAACTGTTTCGTTTTCTCTGTAAATATTTGCCTCAAGTTTTGTTGTTATTCGAAGCCAGAAATAAGGTTCACCCGGCTCTGTTACGGAACAAGCTTTGCTTGGAGAGGAACAAGCCTGGGCTAAAGAGAATAGAAGGGCTGGTTCATTCCTTTGAAGTAGCTCTCGCTGCGCCAATCCTCCGATTTTCTATAGTGACGTCACTTTGGCGCAAAGCTCGCACTTTTACTTCAGGAACGGAGCGTTCGGCCTTACTAGCTCTAACTAATATTGGAGCATTTATTTTTGCGAGATATTCTAAGACATTTGTTATTTTCTATAATGACTTTCCTCAGTTTTTGCAGTGAATTTACAAGAATTTAAAACTATTATCGAAATGCCAGTTTGCGCGATTGCAACTTGCAAAAATTCTGATATAAAAACAAAAGGAAAAAGTATAATTTTTCGCGTGTTCCCTAAAGTAAATGAACAACTATGTAAAGAATGGATTCCGAAATGACACAGTTAATATAAAACCGCAATACGTTTATTCTGTCGTAAAGAACTTTTATAAAAATTCATTATCTAAATAGAAACCGCCTCGCTACTTCATAAAGAAAGGCAGGTGAAAAGAATTAAAAAATAGATAAAGTCAAAGAAAATTAAAATGTAAGTAAAAAGTATAAATAAAATATATAGTATATAGTTGAAATTCTCCTAATTTCATAACATATTTTTTAATGTAGTTATTCTAAATATTTATGATTTTTTTTAAAAATTATATTCTCTTCAATTTAAATATCTATAAATTATATCATCGTAAATTTAAATGTCTATAAACAATTGTAAAATTTCTAATGTCATTATGAACCTAAATTATTATTTTGTTTCAGTAATTAGCGTTTAAGGTTGATGTTTCCTAATGATTAAGTATGAACAAATTGCTATTAACGACATATTTTAAAATCAGGGATTCTAAATTTAACTTAACTTATCTTTATAAAAGAATATGTAGATAAAAAAAGTGTCGATATATGCCTTCATTTTTCTTAATAGTTAAAGTTAAAACTGAACTTTTTAAAATAAAGTATTTATCGTGTCATTTTCACCAACTAGCAAAACATTTTTATAAGTTTAAAATGGTTTTTTTTTAATATAATAACCAAGAAAGTTTTTTTTGAACTATGTTTATGAACGGAAATAATGTGTTAATTACGTAAAGTTTGAAAGCTAATAACCAGAAAAATTCTAACTTATTTTTACAAAGAGAAATATGCAAATTTATCATAATATCTTTGCTTGCGATCTCCTAGATCTGTGGACACAGTGACGTCATGAGGAGGGAAATCGTAGCTTCAGCTCTAAGAGCGGAGTGAACTAGCCCTTCTATTCTCCTTAGCCCTGGGAACAAGCACTCTTTAAAATCGGTATTTGTTTAGATTTTAAACAAAGTGGAGATAAATATTTATATTTTGGCTGTAAGCTCAGTTAACTGAGCTACGTTATAAAATAAAAGGTTGACTAGTTGTTCATTTTTTATCTGTTATAAAGGCAATAGTTTTTCATGGTTTTCTTAAAACTGGTTATGTTGGTGTGAACTGCTGTTTTGGCAGTTGGATAAGCAAAAGATCTTTCTTTAATTTAGAATGTTTTAAAAAAACGATGCACTGTGTGCAATCATCAATTGTATAAAAGTAAGATTTAATGCACATTTTTTAATTCATCGTTGTTTTAAATTTTGATTTTTCAATTGATGTTTTAGCAGTTGATGTTTTTATTTATTTATTTTTTGAAATGTATAAGTTATTTGAATTAAATGTATTTACCCAAATCTTGTCCGTGAGCTTTTTCGTTTCCTTGAATGTAAAGTAAGGAATATCCATCCCACATCACAGAAGTACCACCTGGGCAATCTGGTACTTGAGTTGTTTGACTATGTCGTGTGTAGAAGAATCCTCTAGATGGAGCTGGTGTGCCTGGGTATCCTGGTTCCCCTTGATTTCCTATTAAGCCTGTAGTACCGGGGAAACCACTAAAACCTGAGGATAATAAAATAAAATTAGAAAAAGGAAAATATTTGTCAACACAAGAGCTTGGTTACAAGAAGGGAAGCAATAAAGGCACTTTTATGAAGTTTAAGCTAACTTAAAATAAGCACGAAATGAAAGAAAATTTGGAAAAATTTCCTATATTTAGAATCGACAATTTTGAAGAATTTTTATCGTTACCTTTTTTAGCCTAGAAAACTATTTAATATTTCTTATTTCAAAAACAGAGATCTCTGATTCTAAAATTGAGTATTTCATACGCTAATATTCTTCTTAAATCAAAACTGCGATAAATATTGATTGAATCCGAAATCATTTGTTATATTTCTTGAATTGAAATGATTGAAACAAACTTCACCAGTTCATTATTAAAAAAAACTGCTAGGCGAAAATTATGAACTCTTTTTAATCTTCTAATTTCAGCAAAAAGGAAAAAAAAAAATCCTTTTGCTCATTTACCAGGAAAAAAAAAAGTTGAAAATATATTGTATGCTGAGTGTTTCTCTTGATATATATATTTTACATATCCGGAATACTTTTCAAAAATAAAGTTAAAATATACTCACATTTAGGGGTTGCATGTTTCGTCGATCCCTTATGTGTGTATATTTTAATGCATAAGCAAGAAAAAAGCCGTAAGGCTAAAATCCGAGGAATTCTTAAGAATGAAGGTGGGATTGAAAGCGTCAAAACCTGTTTGATTACTTGATGAAATTAGGATGTGCTATTAAAAATCACCTTTCAATTTCTTCCTAACATTTAGGCAATCAAACAGGCTTTAATTTTTCAGTCCCGTTTATATCTCTATTAATTCGTTAGATTATGATTACGTTTTATTATTTTCTTCTTTAAATATCAATTAGTAACTTCTGATGCGTATGATTTTTTACCTTCCTTTATGGCAACAATTTTAAAAATATATAATAAAGGTGATCATTTTGGAACAACCTCTGTAGTAATTTTCTAGAATGTACTTACCATCAAGACCTCTGTCTCCAATTGTTCCTTTAAAACCCTGTGGTCCCGGATATCCATTTACTCCAGGATATCCAGGACTTCCTTTGGGTCCGGATAATCCATCTCTACCAGGATCACCCATCGCACCTCTTTCACCAGAAAGGCCTGGAAGACCAGCTAAACCATTATCTCCAGGGAATCCTGGGATAGGGAAAATTTCATTCTCTGGTACTGCATCTCCACGTGGACCCGGATTACCTTGAAAAGTCATTGTACGTTTATAGTTACTCATTTTGAGATGACGGTAAACTAATTTATCAATCACAATAAATTACAAATTATCCCTTTTCTTTAAAACCCATTAAATTTATTCATCTGATTTTTATTTTGTTTTGATGAGATTCTAGATAGTACCTCTCTATTTCAGAATTTTTTATGAGCTTAAGAGGTTTCAAATTTTTTTCTTTTATTTTGGGTTAAAAAGAAACTGACTCTACGTTTGAGTTTTAGCAACAGTCGGGTATTTTCTTCAAAGAGTAAAAAAATAGAGGTGTTCGCTTTTTAAAAAAAAAGAAAAAAAGAAGGAAAAATTTAAAATGAAGAGAAAAATGACCGGAAAAAAACATCACGTGATAGTTAACATTCTAAGAATAGTTTAGTTTAGTCTAGCACAGGGTTTTCCAAGTGAGACTAGTGCTAACGTACGTGTCTATAATTTCAAGTCTAATAAATATTAATCCTTTAATAGCTGTCGCTATTCAAAAAAAAAAAAAATTTTTTTTCCCATGTAAAATTGACAGAGTTGTGGATTCAGTATTCTGTCCCAAGTGAAAAAGTTATGCGAGTTCTTGCTCAGTAGCAAGCTCATTAGCACACTCAACGAATTCGGCAAAACTCGATTAAGTAAGTCGCATTTCAAATCGTACGTGTAGAGCATACAATTCTTTAAATAATAAGTTAATTATAAAAATATATCCCTATAAATATAGAATACAAAAATATGCTATGCCGCGAAGAGTTATGAAAACTTTTCGAACAATGAACTGCATGCAATATGCTCACGAGTTTCTTTTGGAAAACAATTCATTTGGTTCAACATAGCAAAGTTAGCATGCACCGTTGGGAACTAGATCTATGCCTGCTGTTTTTACAACTTGAGTGAAAGGCAAATTTAAAAGAAAAAGAATGTCGGCATACAGCGATTACTGCTGTTGACTTTGCAAAAGATACACAAATTTTACATTCCTTCTAACGGTAGTACTTTTCATATGCCTTCCTAAGATTATCAAACGTATACAGACAGTGATTATTCTCATCGGTCCAATTAACAGCTTGTCGAAGGGCATGCGAACTTTTTTGAAATTTAAACTCTCACGGGGTAAACAACACGGAAAGGTACAGAAAGTAGTTTATATATTCCGTAGTGAGATGATGTAAGAAGCAACTGCCAAGGCAGTAGAGAGCATTCACTGTCGATGCTCTGTTTTTGCTTAGCTTATATTAAACAATGTTATTTTCGAAAATATTAATTTCAGACGAACAGTTTATTATTAGGGTTAATTATATAAAATAAATGGAACACTATTATAATGAGATAAATGAAGGATTTTTTTAAACGTAATTTTCAGCTACTACTTTCTTAATATTAGGTTGAAAACATTATTATTAATATTAGTTAATTAAATATTAGGTTATTAAGTTAAAAATACTTAGTTGAGCCATTATAATTTTCCAAAAATATTAGTTTCAGTTGAACTATTTGTTATTAGGGCTAAAATCAATCTAAGACTGTAATTGGTTATAATGGGATAAAATTTTTTTTTTCAGTAATAAGTTGTAAATAACATTATTATTAATATTAGTTTATTAAATATTAGTTTATTAAGTTCAGTTTTATTAAATTTCCGAAAAGATGAGCTATTTATTATTAGAGCTAATTGGACGAAAAAAAAATTGAAGACGATTATAATGGGATTATTAGAGTATTTTTTAAAAAATAATTTTCAGCTATTATTTTCTCAAATTGAAGCATTAAATCTTATAGAAAAATTAACCGATTAATTGCTTAATTTTTGAAAATTTACCAGGAAATCCTTTTGGTCCAGTTGGACCGATTGCTCCACGGAAGCCCACATCTCCTTGAATTCCTTTAGGGCCTGAAAATCCGGGGCGTCCGGGAAATCCTGTGTTGCCTTTTGCACCAGCTAATCCAGGAAAGCCATCTCTACCCTAACAAAATAAAATATTTACTCAACGTTTCATTTTACAGAAACAACACAGAGAGTTCTCAAATTATTTATCTTGATGTGTAGGGTAAACTAACCAGTGAAGGAACACTTAATCTTCGCTTGCCTTTTAAAAAATCATATTAATTTCAAAATTTGTAGAGGACTTACATAATATCGTTTTAAAGTTTTGGAGGTTCAAATAACAAGTAGTAAGAAGACCAACTGAAGAAACAGCTCTTACCAGTAAATGAACACCCAGTAAAGGAATACTTAATTTTGGTTATTTTTTAATGCTCTTTATGAATTTATAAGCCATACAAATATTTAAAAACAAGCCTATTCTTGAAATTATAACATATAAATACTTGGAAAATGTTAACTTTTTTTTGTAATCATGAATTGAAAATTAAAGTGTCAACATATTAACACATACTGTTCATTCACTGGGAAATCTATGCCCAGTAAAGGAACATGCCTGTTCCCTCACTGGTTAGAAGTTGTTTTTCGTATTTTTAACATACTTTTGATGCGGAACATCACTAAAGGTACAATAAAATTAAAGTTTATCTTTTATTTTCATTAACTTAGAAAAAAAACTTAGTAAAGGAACACTTGCTCCTTCACTGGTTTTTCATCGCTTGGTGATCCAGTGAATAAACACCCCCTTATCTCAGTACTTTATTATGCTATGATGCTTACAAAAAAATAAAACGTAAATTCAATAACAATATTTTGAATTCTCTTTTTCACAGTGAGAAAAATACAACTATTACATGCAATTAATTCCACTTCAAACACGTAAATACAAACACTCACCATATAATTTTTTCAAAGAAACAAGGTGTTGCAGAGATAATAACAAAGTCATAAATTTTTCCAGAGAAGTCTATTTGACCAGTTAATCCAAAACATTGCTAGATGACTTCCTATTGTTTGGCAGTAAGGTATTGTTACTAATCAATCTAAAGAAAAACTTTCAAATTCTTATTTTTAATCAATATATATGAAATGTTCCTTCACTGGATAGTCTTCCTTCACTGGTTGGTTTACCCTACCTATTTTCAGATACTTTTTCTTTTATTTTGCACATTTAAATATTCATAATATGGATAGTTTGTAAAATCTGCTTTGGAAATGTGGTCATAGTCTTATTTTGAGAAAAAAATTCAACTTAATCAATACAATGGATTTAAAATAAGTTTGACAATTTTGCGAACCTTCAAAGAAAGTTTTACAACAACGAATACAATAATAATAATTACCAGTTAGCTCTTATCTTCGAGAAAATAAGGCTAGTTGAAGAAATTGTATCACTAGAAATAAAGATCAATCGTTTTAAAATATTCATTTACCTGTAAACCAGGTGGTCCCGAAGGTCCAGGTTGAGCTCTACCTGGTAAACCTCTATCTCCTTGTATACCAGAATTTCCAGGGTAACCAGGTTCTCCCCTATCTCCTCTGGCACCTTGCAATCCACCCAATCCTGCCAAGTTAAAGCAAATAAAAAACTGAATTTATATTCAATTACAGATATTATTTGAAAGCATTTAAAATTATGCTTGATTTTGAAATATAGATATTATTTTATAACATTTTAAATTATGTTATAGTTAATTTTAATCAAAAACTAGTATTTATTATTTTTTTTAAAGTGATTTGCCCCTTTTGATGATGGATTTTGTTTAACTTCTTAGATATGAGAATTTAAAATGATAAAACAGTTGCAAGTGTATGAAAGAAATAGATTCTATAAATTGATTGCATTTTGTAATAAAATAAAAAGAAGAATTTATTAGATATGTTTGAACATAGTATTGAGGGGCGAATAAAATGAAGTAAATTAATTTTCAGAACTGGCCGATAAAAATCAGTCATTATTGAATAGAGGAGATTGTAGAATCAAGCTCTGAGAAATATAACTATAAAGATTATTGTTTATATGCTTGTCAATATTTTTTGTTAATGATCCAAACAGTTTAGAATCCAATATTAGAAATGCAATGTTAAAATTTTTCGAATCGCAAAAATCATTTACCATTGCAAAATTGCAATCGTGATGAAAGTTATGACAAAATGTTTTTCTAAGTATTTTTTTTTTCAAGTATAGCTGAATTAGAACAGTATTCTCAAGAACAGAATTTTTTTTCAACTACATTTTTTTTGCTAATCCAAGCAATCGTTCAGTTTGTAGCGATAAACATATTAACAAAATGTTCTTCCACAAAACTATAATTATTTTATATTTTATAAATAAAGAATCCTTTTTTTTAAAAAAACAAAACAATATTGGTTTTTAAGCATAATAAAAAAGCAGAGATGATCGAAAAGAAATCACGGGGGTTGGTGGTGGTGCCTCCTAGTAAATTAAATAGATACTAACAAACTTTTTTACAGTAGTATAAAGTGTTGATAAAGAAACATTACAGCAAAAAAAATTATGTTGTGCATAAACTAAAATTGCCACTGACTGCAATTATAATCTAAAAGAATATTATTTAAATTATGTTCCATTGAAAAGTTATTTAATTGTTCTTAAATTTTGTTTCATTGAGTTCGAAATGTAACAACTATAAAAAAAAATCTTTTACCGGTTTTCATAAAATTATTTCTTTAAATTATAAATAAACTATCAAACTGTTTGATTTCTTAAGGCTTAATTAAGAATATAGCTGTTGGGAGTTTGGAGATTTAAAAAAAGTAGTAATCTTAAAAAATTTCTGAAGTTCAGGATTATTTTTTTTCTTGGGGCCCTCCGATGTTATGCCTAATTCTTAGTTCTTGAGGCTTAACAGAGGTTAACAGAACAGAAACGGTTAGAGATTCTACATTATAAATTCATTATACACTTTCTCGCCGACTGTCACAAATGCAAAGCAGCATGAAATGTTATTAATCAGGGTAAAAATATAAAACTGGTAACCAAACGAATTTTTAGTAGTTTATTTGTTTTCTAGCAGTTTGAATTATTTGATTCACCATTATTTAGTTCGAAATAAAAATTATGTAGTTACACTTTGAACCAATATTGATTTTGAACAACTGAAGTCAAGCATCACTGGCTGCGGTCAGTAAGCTGGTGGGGGTGACCACTTTGATCAGTCTGCGTAGGGATAGAGGGTATATCAGTCTTAGTTAACCGTACTTAGTCTACCGTAAAGTGATCGACTTCGCGCGCATTTTGTCTGGCTACTAAAGTAGGGGAGCCATCCCCTCTTCAGAGGAATGTCTTCAATCATTTTAGGGGATGTTTCCCCCGTCGCCAATAGCCCATTGTGCAGCTCTAGTGCGACGTTAATATAGTACCTACCTACCTATTTAAAGAATAAGATTTTATATTGTACCTGGGGGTCCTGGAAGTCCATCTGGGCCTTTTTCGCCTTTTCTTCCTGGAAATGAATAACCTGCTTCACCTTTGCGTCCAGGATTGCCCATTCTTCCCGGAGTTCCAGGTTCTCCTTTTCTTCCCGATAATCCAGGTGTTCCTGGAAAACCTGGTATTCCACCATCGCCTTCTTCACCCTTTGAACCTAGAGAGAATGAAATATACTAATCTTAAAATCTTGAAATTAGCCATAAGAAAGCTACTTATATTTTTCTATTATATAGCCATTTAAAATATTTAATTAAATCTGGAATTTGTTTTTTTGGGTTTTTTTTTAGAGAAAAGGGTTTTCTTATTTTTCCGAACTTGACTCACGGTTACTTTTATTCCTTTATTCGAAAGTAAAATAAATTGAAAAAACAATTACGCCTGTTTTTCTGAACACTTTAGTAGTAATTTAAAATATTGTTGTGAAATTAATCATTGTAAGATTAGTTTAAGAACAAGTTATTAAGAAACTGTTGAATGTATAAATTTTGTTTACCTGGGAATCCTGGTGTTCCACCATCTCCAGTTTCTCCAATTCTGCCCGGTTCACCTATATTTACAGTAAAACATAATTATTGCGCTTTTAAGGATTAAGTATTATGTAAGTTCAAAGATTTAAAAAACTGTGGGCATAACGATTTCACAAGGGAAAAGTNCAATTGCAGCTACTAAATTAGCGATGCAACACATAAATATTTGGTATTTGGCCTATACTGCTGAACGCAGAATATTCATTTCGGACGAATAAAGGAAAAAGCGTCTGCCGAAGACAAAATTTAGTTCGTTTACATCTGTCTTTCTTCCCCCCCCCGTTCCTCGAAAGTGTTTATTCGATTAACGAAATAATAATGAAGATAAACAAATTTGTGAAGGGTCCGATTAAAAGATAAATTATTTTGTGAAGGGTCCGTTTTTAAGTTGAAATATTTTGTGAAGGATCCGTTTTTATGTAAAGATATTTTGGGAAGGATCCGTTTTTATGAAAAGATATTTTGTGAAGGGTCCGTTAAAGGACCCAAATTTCTTCTAAACAGACCCCTGCCGTAAAGTGATCGACTTCGCGCATTTTGTCGGGCTACCAAAGCAGAGGAGCCATCCTCTCTGCAGAGGCATGTCTTCAATCATCTTCGGGGATGTTCCCCAAACCGTTGCCAATATAGTGCAGCTCTAGTGCGACGTTAATAAAGTACCTACATACCTACCTATTTAAAGAATATGATTTTATATTGTACCTGGTGGTCCTGGAAGTCCATCTAGGCCTTTTTCGCCTTTTCTTCCAGGAAACGAATAACCTGCTTCACCTTTGCGTCCAGGATTGCCCATTCTGCCCGGAGTTCCAGGTTCTCCTTTTCTTCCCGATAATCCAGGTGTTCCTGGAAAACCCGGTATTCCACCATCACCTTCTTCACCCTTTGAACCTAGAGAGAATGAAATGTACTAATCTTAAAATTAGCCATGAGAGCCATGAAAGTTATTTATATTTTTCTATTATATGGCTATTTAAAATATTTAATACAATCTGGACTTTGTTTAGCAGGTTTTTGCTTTAGAGAAAAAGGTTTCCTGATTTTTCCAAATTTGATTCATGGTTATTTTCATACCTTTATTCGAAAGTAAAATAAAGTTAAAAAAAATTATGCCTGTTTTCCTGAACACTTTAGTAATTTAAAATATTGTAGTGAGATTAATCATTGTAAGATTAGTTTAATAACAAGTCATTAAGAAACTGTTAAATCTATGAATATTGCTTACCTGGGAATCCCGGTGATCCAGCATCTCCAGTTTCTCCAATTCTGCCCGGTTCACCTATATTTACATCAAAACATAATTATTGCGCTTCTAAGGATTAAGTATTATGTAAGTTCAGAGATATAAAAAACACTGTGCGCGTAACGATTTCACAAGGGAAAAGTTAATATTATTCCTTTTTTCCTTTTAAACGTAATTTTCTTTTCTATTTCAATATTTTCTTTGGCGTTGTGGAAATAATTTATACCTGTAGTGGTTGACTTTTGAGAATGATCGCATATCTTTTCACAAAAGATTTATAGAGACCAGTGTTTCTCAGTCCGATATTACTCAAAATAGAGAGAGTGGCTACAATTTGGAAAATATGGTCCTAATAGTTTGGAACTACTAAGCAAATCCAAAATATTTGGCACTACTAAACACTTAAATAGGAATTGGTTTATTCAAACAGACGCAAAATTAAAACAAGTGTATTTTTTATATTTATTTATTATTTTTTATCATTTAATGTAGACATTTACATGATAAGTTTAATCTCATATTACACTATGCAGTTATAAATGATAAAATGCAAATTTTGAATGCAATCGGTCTATTAATTTCATAATAATAAATTTACAAAAAAATCATGTTTTTAAACTTAATGTTTTAAAATGTTTTACTTAATGCTTTATGTTTACTTAATGCTTTATGTTTTAAAAGTCTAACGAACTTTTCAATCGATTCCGTTTATATTTTGGGTTCTATCGTTTAAAATTTAAATGGCTCGAAATAAGTATATATCTTTAGTTAAAAATATTTGAACCATTATTAAATTAAATAATAAAAAAATAATTTTAAAAATTAATCTTTAAAAAATTTCCTTTTGCATGAAATTATTTTTTTGGATTTTTTGTCCCAAGAATGATTTTATGAAACTATTTTTCTCGTAACTATAAAATAAGTTTTATTAAAAACTTTCAGATTCTCTAAAATAGTTCCTGCGTGATAGTTAAAAGCACAAAAAATTAATTAAACATTTAAAATCCGATTAATACAATTAAAGTGTCCTGTTTCTTTTCTTCTTTTTTTTTGTTACATTTTGTGGGTCACTTTCGTGTAGCTGAGACTACTAAATTCAAAGTTTTACTCTTAAAAGAAAATATTTTACTTTAAAATATATTAAAATTAACAATTAAGTTAAATTAGAAGTAAACAATTGATATTTATTCTGCCATTATAAACAGTTACGAGGGAAAAAATAGCTAACAAATTTGCCTTTTAATCCAATAACTCCAGGAATGCCATCTCGTCCAGGAAATCCTTGATCTCCTCTTTCGCCTTTTATTCCAGGATATCCAGACAAGCCACTTTCACCTTTCTGTCCTGGAATACCTGGTATACCAGGGATTCCAGAATCACCTTTTGCGCCTTTATTTAGTTCATATGAAGGAATACCTATAAAATATTTTGATCGTTACATAATGCATTCTCAAAAGTAAATAATTGATGATTATTATTTTTTAAAATAATTTTTTGAATGAGCATGCTCTATGATGCTCCAGTTTAATAATTTGTGTCTTTCTGAATGTAAAAAATATTCTAAGAAATAAAAGACTCATTTTTGCATGAAAGAGAGTGGATAAAGAATATCAGAACTATGTACAAAAAATTATTCTTAAACTTTAACTATTATTTTTTAGTAATTAATTTATTTAATATTAGAATTTTTAATCATTATTGTAGAGTACAACATTCACTTTTTTATTTGCAATTATTAACAAACTGATTCAGTATTACTGAGTCTGGAAAACTAAACACTTAAGATAGTAACACTTTATACAATTTCTTACATTTATGCAATTATAAAATTAACAAAAATGTTGTATCCCTTTTTACAATTTTTGTTACTTTTTTATTTTAATGATTGCTCTAAAAAGACTGAATATTATATAAAATTACTTTTTTTGTTTTAAAATTTATGAAGTTGTCAACATCTAATTTATCATGAATTAAACTATCAGACTCGGAAAATAAGTTCAAAAGTTAACCAGAGCGCTTCATGTTTAGGGGAATTACTATCAACATATTCAAGTACCTTTTGGACCAGGGTTGCCTCTTAGCCCTTTTGGTCCTGGTAGACCAGAAATTCCTGGAAGCCCAGGATATCCAAACCCTCCTTTTGATCCAGAAAGTCCAGGCAAGCCTTCCAATCCTCTGTCACCCTGTTAAATAAAATATATAACCAACTTTCAGTACTAATAGCAATTATTTTAATAGAATTTAAGGTGATATATTTTTTAAATTAGTCAATTAGTATTGAAAAATACTTCTCAAATAACGTTTCCAGAAATCATGAATGTGAGAGTAAGAAATAGAAAATCAGAAAAACAACTTATTAATCAAAAATTAAATATCTTACTATGTCTGGCACAGCTGAAGTACCGAATTTACTAATAGGCTGTGCAAACTTCCCCCTATAGCTATACGCGATACTTCTTTAACACAAATTTCGTCAATGATGAAGGGTTGGGCCGGGATAGCCTGGTTGGTGGGGCACTGGGTCCATGTCCATCAGTTCGCGGGTTCGATCCCCGCCTTCCGAAGACTCTCCGTGTAGTAAATGGTGACTGATGCACGTTGAATCTGTCGAGTCACAATGTACTCCATGTTCCCATAACAAATTAATACCTCTGGAGGTACTGATCCAAGAATGTCCTTGTCTTCTGGATTGGTTCAAAAATTACAAGGCTGCGGAGTTGAGCATTAGTAGTCGTAAACCCAAAATTGGCTCTGCTGTTCAACGACGTATATAAAATAAAATGAAATGATGAATGGGTGAGCCGTGGTGGCCCAGAAGATAAAGCGTTTTCCTTCCAATGAGGTGAACCGGGTTCGAATCTCAGTGATGGCTGGTCGATTCGAAGTTCGCACCCGGCTCGCAACGATCACAGCGCTGACGTAAAATATTCTCAGTGGTAGACGGATCATGGGTTTTCCTTTCCATGCAGCGCAAATGCGGGTTGCCTCCACGATGGTAAATTTCTCCCTATACTTGATCCAGGTGTTCCCTTATCTATAGGATTAGGTTCAAAATTACAAGACTACGGAGTTGTACATTAGTAATCGTACACCCAAAATTGGGTCTGCTGTTCAAAGACGGATATAAAAATGACGAAGGGTTGTTTAGAACCGAATAGCTTGTCCTATTCGGAAGGGGCACTTATGGATCAATTAAATCAAAATTGAAATATTTAACTACAAAAGAAATTCAACCAGCAATCATTTACCTTAGAAATAAGTAAAATAAAACTAAAATGGGTAATTACTATAAGTTAATTTTTAAACGTTGTTTTAGGATGCATTATACAAGACCGTTATTAAACTAGATATTAAGCCTCCTATAAGAAATAATGCATTTTTGCTCCAGCTTTTTATTAATTTTTGTTTTTTTGATTTATGTACTTAATAAAACCGACCATATCGATTTTGTCTGTATGATACAAATTGAGTGAACCATCGGAGTAATGTATACCATGCGCTACTTTACATTATATGAAAAATGTTACATAATTTCAACCGAAAATGTACTTGTGTAATTCTTCCAGACATATTTAATGTAGATCTATGCTATAATATTAAAACATTTCACTCATCACATTAATGTGTGTTAAATACCTTTATTCCGGGTGGCCCGTATCTACCTAAATCACCAGCTTCACCTTTAAATCCCGGAAGTCCCGTGAGTCCAGGGGGTCCTTGCAGACCAGAAAGACCGGGTATTCCATAATCCCCTTTCATTCCAGGTGGACCTGAAAGTAATGTTAAGTGGATAAAACCTCCTTAAAATATAAATATGTCTTTTCATTTTTAATAATGATATCATAAATTAAAAAAAATAAAACTTTCATAGATTTTTCAGAAACTTTCTTTCTCAAATTCTGATACTAGGGATCCATAAAATAAACGATGATAAGAGAAAAATATAAGGAAGATAGAAGGATTTGGTTTGCTACATTTTGTATAGGGATCTGGGTTATCATTACTAAATTAGTTACAAAGTTTTCAGACATCGTGAACTGAGAGTTTGGTTTGGTTTTTAACGTCACACAGAAGCTTCACTAATGAGCTATAGGCGACCGTCTGGTAACCATTCTTAATGATGATCCAAAGACCATACTGGAAAAGGAGTTGCCACAATTTAATATTAAATGAGTAGTAATCATCCGGCCTCTCTGTTTTTAATTTCGGCTCTGATACCTCCGACGTCGTTATCAACTCAATAAAAATGCGACGTCGTTTCAATAAAATGGTGGCGTTGTTACATTAAAATGTGCACTTTTTCGGTTGTAGGTTATATCGGTTATAGGTTATATCGGTTATAGGTTATTCGGTTATAGGTTCGGTTATATTGCCCTTTTAAAAAAAATTAACATTCTGAAAAAGCATTCGAATGGTTGAGTGACAAAACAGGTGATATTTTTCCAAAAATAATATTTTTTTAGGGTTAAGGTACACTGTATAGTTCTACATAGTCAAAATGTTTCATGGGGTGAGTTTGAGGGAAAAAGAATTTTTAAAAAAGCTACTTTTTTTGACATTTCAACAAATTAAAAAAGCTTATTTTTTCACAAATTCATTAAGATATCAATGGAATACCTGCTAGCGGCGTAGTGTTGGTAGCTCGATCCTGATCGGTTGTCGAAACGGTGCATTTGTTTACGTTAGCAACTATTCTTTCAGTTCTATTTCGAGTAAGCCAAGTCCGTTAAGTATCAATTCTCTTAAGTGACACATTCTATATTTTTACACGAAGATTCTTTCTCAAAGATTTCAATTCTTTCACTGTATATTTGTTACTTAACGCAAAGACAGGTATGAAGCCACGTAGAACATAAACAAACTAATTATGCATCGAAGTTGCCAGATACACAAAACAAAAATATATTACGGTTACAATAAAAAAACTAAGTTAAATAAATGGTGTAGACGAGAAAGGACTATATTTCAACAAATTCGATACAAGATACGGGGCTGTATTTAATTAACTTCACGCTAATTAACATTCTAATTTATGTGCAAGAACTTAGCTGAACTTTAACACATCATTTTGCTTATAAAGTATCAACTGGAGCTGACGTCATAGGTCACATGTGTTGGTATCTGTGATCTTCTTCTTCTTGAAGCGTAAGTAGGCAAATAAAATGTTCTTCTACTGTTATTAACTTCAAATAGAATAGTTTGAAAACAAATATAATAATAAATTCAGCTTTTTTGGAGGTAGGCATCTAGAATTTAAAAGTCAAATCGTTCTTTCGTTGTTGCATTATATTAGTATAATATTTTTTTTTGATAATCTATGTTTGTTTTTGCAAATTTTTATAAAAATAATTTAAAAAAGAGTACAATGGTATAACTTATAAAATAATTTTAGTTATCGTCTTTAAACTCAGGCAGAATTTAGAGTAAATTAACTGAACAAAATATTATTTACGATATGCAATCATTGTTAATAATGAGAAACTTTCATAATTGCAGGAAATCAAGACTGTTTGAGGTTATTTGACTATTCTCACGTTAGGGAAAGCTTCAAGCACCTTTAGTAAAAAAAAGCATCATATGTCTAGTACTTGTTTAACAAAAAGTGCAAAAATTAAAGATGAATGATCAAAAAATGATACTTTTAGAAAATCCATTTTAAAATGAAAAATAAAAATATTTATTGAGAGGAAAATGATTGAGTCTGTTTTAAATCTGATTTTTAAAATTCAGGGAATAAAATTCATTGTCCTCTCCCATAATTACCTGGCCTTCCAGGGAGTCCCGCTATTCCTTTAGGTCCTAGAAATCCTGGTGGACCAGGGTAACCCTTAGGTCCTTGGGTTCCCTTAGCAGCTTCTGCTCCTGGATATACAAAGCCAGGACGTCCTTGCTCCCCTTTACGTCCTTGCAACCCTGAGAGACCGGCATATCCTTTAGAACCTTTTGCGCCTGAAATGAAAAAAATATCAGAGTTAAAATGAGTTTAGGATAATTCAATTTAAAAACAAAGCTGGTCAAAGCTGGTTCAAAGCTGGTCTTAAAGTTCTAAGATGGCCCAGACATTTCAGATTTTTCTGATTTTTACTAATAAGCCCTTGAAAAAAAAATAAATCTTATGAAAATATAATTATTTTGTAGCAAAAAGTATTTGTAGTCAATAGTGTTTTCTGTGCTTCTATTCTGAGTATATTAAGCAGAATGGCTGAAAATATAGGCTGTCTCAAAGAGGGATTAAGTTGTAAGTTTTATTATGGTGACAGATAATGAACACAATTTATGCAAATTTACTTTTTGACTTCACAGAAAAGTCTTTAGTTTATAAATTAAAAAAAAATGTAAATTAAAACTTGGATAAAAATATTTCGTTATTCTATTCCTATCCGGATTAACTTACATGTATTTTAATCATCCTCTCCTTAATCTTTGATCCTCTCTCTTTAATGCTCATGCAGTGATTACAAACTTTCATACTCAGAAAATTCATTTACAAGATTCTAATTAATTAATTAATACAAAATGATAGTCAAGTAACAAAATCAAATGTAAAATAACAAATGCGAGAAATAGCAGTCGGACTTCTATTGAACGAACTTCCATTTTGCGAATTTCTCTATTTTGCGAATTTTTTCGAGGAACCAAGAACATTTTGGAAATTTCTTCGTACAGTAACTTCCAAGTAACGAAGTGAATTTTCTATTTAACGAACTTTTGTTTGAGATTCACTTTCCCTACTTTCCAAAATATTTCAGAATAGTTCAAACTTGTTAACGCATTTTATGGGGGAAATGAATTTGAATTAATTTTCGAAGCCACTGCTTTAATGTAATGTTTTACTGCTTTCTCTAAAAGCTATTTTAGAGAAAGTAGTAAAATCCCTTTCCCTTTTTGTTCACATTTCAAATGAAAAACTCAGTCAAAATAATGGATTTTATCAGTAGCAATTAAACTTAAGAGCGCATGTGGTAATGCATGTTTGAAATTACTTTTGTAATAAATGCAGCTATAATTTTATACATAAATTTAGCCCTTTTTTTAGTTGAAAATGTATGTAGCATGATAGTGTAACACTGGATAATGCTTTGCTCTATTCTTGTTTTCCATGCAGATTCCTTTTATGGTTAATATTTATAAAATAAATAGTTGATACTAGGTCTAGTGTTTATGAATTTAAAACCTGTTTTCTGTTGTTCAAGTATTTTAAAAGGTGATTTTCTATTTAACGAATCTTCCATATAATGAACTTATTATCGGAATTTAGTGACTTCGTTAAATAGAGGTCAGACTGCACTTTGTAAAATAAGGAACAGCTAATGAAACAAGACAACGCTTGTGTCTCCGTAATGATAATTTTCTTATTTGTATCTTGACCAGTGTTGATAATTTTACTATTAGCATTTTGACCAGTGTTGATATTTTCACTATTAGCAGCAAAACTAACTGACTACTTTAATAGATAGAATGGGATTGCTTATTTTTTGGGGATGTGAGCTGCCTATGAAAACCAGCAATGTACTTGAATAGTTAATTGACAGAAAATATGCTTGGAGGTTTAATATTATACCTGGTATTCCAGTTTCTCCTGGTTCTCCTTTTTGACTATATGTTGAGGGCTCTCCTTTAGGTCCTGGGTTTCCAGGATATCCAGGATCTCCTATTTCCCCACGAAGTCCAAATGATCCTGGCCGCCCTGGTAAGCCTTGTTCACCAACGTCACCAATCAGACCTATATACATAGTTTAAAAACAAAACTGGAATAAGTAAATTACATACGTCATCGGTAAATGATAAAATTTAAGGAATTATGATAAAATGTTTCTCTTACTATTAGAAAAATAAGGTATAAAATATGAACTGAATTTAAATACAGAAAGTGTTACACGCCAACTTACAAAGAAAAAAGTTACAAAAGTATTTTATGCAGTAGTTTTGAGCGAAATTCATTAGCTTTCACTTAAATTTTATGGTTTAAAACGAATTACTTATTTTTTATTCAGACACAATTCTATTAAATTAGTTTAAATAATTTAAGCTTTGTGCACTTTCAATCAAGTTGCTTTATTAACAATAGTCAAATAATTGAAAATTAATTTAGATGATAAATAGGTTTGGTTGATTTAATTAAGGATTCCTTCACTAAGGGATTTTTCACCTTTTAAACCCGAAAATCCTCTTCTTCCCGATGGTCCTGCTGGTCCACCATTACCCGGAATTCCAGGCTCACCCTTTTCTCCCGGAAAACCTAAAATTATAAATTTTGATAAATAATAATTTTTAAAGAATCATTGTTTTGAATTTAGATAACTATCATGTTATAAAATTATATATAAATATTTAAAATATATACCTGGTCTACCATCGAATCCTCTTTTCCCTGGCCTACCATCTGGTCCAGGCAATCCTTCAATTCCTTGAGGTCCCCTTTCGCCATCAAAACCCGCCTCACCTCTTTCTCCTTTGAATCCTCTACTACCCGGTTGACCTACTAAACCTCTATCTCCTTTGCCTCCTGGTAATCCTGAATTGAAATAACAGTTTTGAGTTTAAATAATTTTTTGAGATGAAATGAAGCAGTTTGATAAATTTTATAATGGTATTAAATTAGGTAAGAATATAACAACACATACTTTCTAGCTAAACTGATCTTATGCTCCTTTAAATATTGAAAAATTACCAGTAAGTCCGGGTGAACCTGGAAAGCCTCGGTCCCCTTTAGTTCCTGGCCCTGAATCTCCTGGTTCACCTTTTGCACCATCTGCACCATATAATCCAGGAATGCCAGGAAGACCTAAAAACAGCGTATTTATCAATTTCAAATAACAACGCATTTTATTCCATTAATTGTTTTCTTTTCAAACGTCTTTTACCTTTTAGCCCTTGAGGTCCTGGTGATCCAACTGGACCAGGTAGTCCGATACGTCCCACATAACCCGGGTCACCAATTTCACCTTTTCGACCAGGAAAACCAGGGCTTCCCGGAAACCCTTGGAATCCGTCTTCACCTGGCTCACCTTGATCTCCCTGAAATAAGATTGTAAAATGTATTATAAAAAAGACAATTTACGTATTTTTTTTACCGTTGTGCACTATAAATTAAAACGAAACAACTATCTAAATTTTATTTTTCAAAATAGCACTTAAATTCTCACTTTTGTACCAGGTAATCCATACTGCCCTCCTGGTCCTGGTGATCCTTTAGGTCCTGGAGGTCCATCTAATCCCGCATTTCCTGGAACACCTGGATAGCCTTTGTTACCTGTTTCACCTCTGAGATTTGGGCCAGGGAAACCAGCGTCGCCTTTAAAACCCCTCTGTCCGGGATAACCAGGGGTTCCATCTTTACCTGATGGACCTATACGGATAACAGATTCAGGAAATTTTTCCGGAAAAGTATAAAAATATGTAGAAAATTATTGCATCCGTATAGAAAATTGTATAGAGAAGTATTATTGTATTGTACAGAAAATTACTTTATTGTATTTGTACTATTGAAAATTATTGCAGTATATTTAAACAAAGGAATACTCGCCTTCTTTTCCGGGTCTTCCAGGGGGTCCAGGAGATCCTCTTTCTCCGGGAGGTCCAACGTATCCTTTTGCCCAAGTTATGTTTCTGACATCAAATGAATCACCCTGGTCACCTAACATCAGAACCATTTTTATTACTATATACATGCTATCGAGTTCATGTCGTTGTAGATTGTTTTAAGTGGATAAAATTACAAGTATTGAAACGATACTAATATAATACAAATTGTATACTATTATGATACAAATTATAACTAATATTAATGTAAAACAAAAAAATGTAAAATTTGAACAGCAGGCATCTGAGAAAATACAGGTATATGCATCATCTCATATGTGAACTGCACAAAATGGTTTTGGGAGAACGTTGCAAAAATAATAAATGAATACCTGAATAATAGCTATTAATTTATTGTATTGTATAGCTATTATTTAATTGTATAGGTTTCACATACAGTAGGAGTAAAATAATACTGCAATTTAATTTTTTAACCAACATTAATAGGATGTTTAGTGTCAGGACAAGTTAACCAATGGATGGAGTTTAAAATTGCTTCCCCCATTTAAAAAGACGATTTTGATCCTTCTAGTTTGGTTCAGAAACATCCACTCCTTCAAAATTTGACAAATTTTTCCTTTGGGGAATAATACTCCTGATAAATTGTATGCGAAATCAGTAATAAGTTTTTGTTTAGCATTACACATTGTAAAAAATTCCGATTTAGATTACGATAAAAAATGTTGGCACCTTGAGTGCCGGTCTACCTTAAAATATTGCGGAATAAAACAATCTGATAATGTAATAATGTAACAATCTGAAAATTTATACAGTAATATTTATTGTAAAATCACTTAACCACTCTAGTTAAATAAATATTACAGTAAAAATTACAGTATAAAATTTTACAGTCAAATGGATTTTACTAAATTTGATCCGGAATTTTTAGGGCGCATAAAACAGGATGAAAGGAAAAAAACTCACATTTAGAATTTTTGATCTAATGTAAAAAGTGTTTTTTCTTCTCAATTAATTTTTAGATTTATTACGGGATTAGGAAAAAATATTATTCCTTATCAATTAAGGAATTACAGTTAAACATTAATATTCTTTTTCTAATCACAATGCCTCAATTGTGGTTGTTTAACCTCTGCTAAGAGAATTTTTTAAATTAACCATTTTATTGTTGTGGTCGATTGTTGGTGGATTTTTTTGCAGTAATGAATACAATTCTCTCAATAATAATCTATTCCACCATAACAATATTTGTTAGTGGAGCTTGTTGACAAAGAGGTGTGAATATTGTTTTTTTTTTCACTGTATGAGAATTTGTATTTTTGTACTGATTAGATTGAATTTACTTATTTTTAAAGTGTAATATAACTGAAGAAATCATTTACTATTATTGACTACATGAAGCGCATTTTATTGCAAACATGTTTAAAAATTAACGAATTAAGTGAAACTTTACTTAACTAAGATATTTCATTTCTTTGAAATACCATCGTTTTCATTAAGACATTTCTCTATCTTGTACTTAAAATATCACAACATCAGAGAAGTTAACATTTAACCACATTTGCAAATAATTATATTGGTGTTTGATATTTATTTCAGTTATATGCTTTTTCATATATATAAAGATAAAGATTAAATTTTTAAAATAATATATCAGATTTCTTGACTCTTTTAAAGGAGAGATCTAAGTCAATATAGTGATATGATATAGTGTTTTAAAAGAGGATATTTTAATATCAAACCGTTCATTAGTATTGTTTAGGGAAAGGTACTTTACAAGTTTCCGGAATTTCCAGGACAGATAACTGGGCAGTAAGCTGAAAATATTATTGCCTACATAAAAATTAGAGTTTTCCGGGACAATTTAAAACTGTGGCTCATAATTATATTGCCATGCGTTAATTTTTATCTGGTAGGTATCTTCTCATTTTCCCTCCTACCTCATTTGCTAGATTCCGTTTATATCTAACAGACTTCCATTAACTGTTATAATTTCCTGATAGTTTCTTAAAAATTATAGCTGGCATATATTTTGATAAAAAATAAGAATTTTAACCTTTTTTTCCTTTCGATCCCAGAAAACCAGTAAGTCCCTCATAGCCTTGTTCTCCTTTTCTTCCTGGAAGCCCGTATGAGAAATCTCCAGCTTCCCCTTTTGGTCCTGATGGCCCAACTAATCCTGGTGGTCCATCTCTGCCTTGAAATCCAGGATCTCCATCGTCACCCTAAAATAGGTGTTGTCAAAAAATATGAATTTATCATTTTAAGGAGCAAGTGGATGAAGAAGTCAATCAGTAGTTAATAATATAGTTTACAATTTAAAATATAATTTAAATTATATTTTAAACTGAGTAATTATTATTGTTTTTTTTAAATGTTTTGGCTTTTGATGTTATTATAAACAGCATCAAAGTATAAGCTTGATTCAAACTTGCGTCATTGGTGTCATAAAAAATGAATGGGAAAAATATGAAATGCTTTAAATAGTTTCCTAGTAAAGTACAGCTTTCATGTACTAACACTTAAACTTCTAATTTAAATTACTTTCTAACATATTCTATTACACACAAATGTACCAAAAAATATTTAAGAGCAATAAAAAAAGTGAACGATACTTAACTGGTTCTCCTTTCCTTCCAGGAAATCCCGGAAATCCTCTAAGTCCAGGTGATCCCGAAATACCATCTGATCCGGGAAAACCACGATCACCATCATCTCCTGTCAGTCCTTTCTTCCCTTTGGTTCCAGGAGGCAATATCAGATCACCTGGATCACCGGTTTCTCCAGGAAAACCTTCAGAGCCATCGATACCTCCTAAGCCCTAATGAAATTTAGGAAAATAATAATAATAATAATAATAATCTAGCCTTATCGTTACAAAATGTAAAAATAGGGGATAATTAACTGTTATAGCTAGTTAAGTTAAGCGTCAAACAAATTTTTTATACGCGTTGTTAGCGAAACGAAAATAATGTGAGAGTGAAGAATAACTTTAAATAGTTTACGTCGAAAATTAATTTTTGGGATCTTAACCTTAAAAACTGCCTTTAAAAAAGGGACACGTTGGCACTGAAAGTTAATATAATATTAATAATAATGCCTTTTTTGTAAAACATTGAATTACTAAGAAATTTTTGTTTAAAAAAATATTGATAACATACTCGCTATTAGTAATTTTGAAAGTCATGAAGTTTCCAGATGCCTGAAAATTATTAACTAAGCTTATAAAAAATTCATAAAAAAAAATCCAACGTTGCTAAGAATATATAATTTTAATAACTAAACCCATTAATTAGCAATTTTCGTTGATTTATACAAGGTGTTCCTTAAAGTTTCTTATCAAAATCTGACAAATCACAATTAGAGAAGGTGACTGAACAGAACATCACAACTTATTTGTTTGTATGTTAAAACTTGGAGGTTTTTCTAAGAATCGTTTTCAAAGTTCTCTCTGTTTTCTCCCGCAATCAAATTGATGTTTTCGATGTTTTGTAAACAGACTTTTCTCAATTATTTATCAGATTTCCCTCTGTTTTCACCCGCTATCAAATTGATGTTTTCTATGTTTCGTAAACCGACTTTCCTCAATTATTTATCAGATTTCCCTCTGATTTCTCCCGCAATCAAATTTATGTTTTCGATGTTTTATAAACCGACTTTCCTCAATTATTTATCAGATTTCTCTCTGATTTCTCCCGCAATCAAATTGATGTTTTCGATGTTTTGTAAACCGAATTTCCTCAATTATTTATCAGATTTCAATAGCGTTTTTTTTAATTAAATATTTATCTGCAAACTCCACTGTGTATACTGTTTTGTTTTCACTTTCCAGCTATTCTAAAAAACATATATTAAGTGCAGTCTTTGCGGAAAATCCTGTTTAACACATTTTGTATAATGCAAGAGGAAAAACTAAACATAGAGTATAGCTTACCCTGGCGCCTTTGAAACCAGGAGCACCAGGATATCCTGGTGTACCCTTTTCACCTGGCAAACCACGATAACCAGGATAGCCATGTGGTCCCACTTGACCTATAATCAATATTGATTAGTTATTTTTTTATATATTAGTAAAGATATTCGAAACTTCAAGGAAATGGAATTTTTTTTTATTTACATTAATTTATGTATTTCATTGAATTGAATTTTATTAATTCTTCATGTGCAGCTTTTATTTAAATTCAATTAACTCCATTTTGGAACATAAATAACTATATCATATATGATGCACTGGAAAATATCAGTAAATTTTGAAAATTTTTGTGTTTAATGTAATTAATAAATATAAATGATTAATATAGTTATTTTAACCTATTCAATGTTTATTAATATATTAATTGCCAATTGTTATATCATTGTACAAAGTTTGAGAAAAGTTTGGAAATATAAAATTAACTTGTTTTGCTGTAACTAGTTTTTTTTTGTTTCTTTTTAAGATAGTTTCATCGCGTCACAATGCAGAAAATTACGAACAAAGATGAATTTTAAACATTCCTTTATTCACAATAATGTCCACAAGCTGCCTTACTCGAACTAAATGAAGAATGCTCTGAACTTTGTTTTTCACTTTTTCCATATTTAGAACAGTTTTTCACGGTTAGTGCTGTAAATGATCTATATTTACTCCTGTCTACACCTAGATACCGCTTTTGTAATTGTAGCTGCAGCTTACCAAAATCAATGTTTTATTCTTATTTTTGGTATATTTTCATGAGCCCAGATTATACAGCATTCGAGTAAGTTTCTAAATCATAAAAAATTAGACCACAAAGGCTTTTTATTTTTTCAAAACTATGGCTTTTCCCCACATTGACGTTTTGTGCCAGTTTCAGAATAAACATAGAGCTAAAGATTGGCTGAATGTGACTTAACGGTGATGATTAACTCGTGAAAACTCTGATCAGTTAAGAAAATAGCATATTATTCTCAAAAAAGCATCATTTTATGCGACTACAGAGTCTTCAAAAAACAGCCTTAAAGTTAAAAAAGTAGTTAACCGAATTTAGAGGGCCAGGCTTACATTATATTTGTTTTAGAAATTTTTCAGGTTTTAGTTTATACTTAAACATAAAATTATATATAATGTTGGAATGAGATAAGAATTATTTAAATAGTGAAAAATTAATGAACCGCAACTAATATCAAATTTTATTTTGCATTCTTTGCTCTGCTGACGAAAAAACAGTAAACTTTTTATATTTCTTCATAAATAAAAACCCTGAATTTTGTTTTTTGATAACTGTTTAACCCTTTAGTAGTTATAAAAAATAAATCTGATTTTTATACTTTGCTTAAATTTTCGAATAGGATACATTTCTATTTTATGATATCTTGCAGTTAAAAATTAAATTAAACTATTAATTAAAATAATTGTTTAGTTTGGTGTAAATTAATTAACTTAATTTTTTATTTTATTTGCACACCTGGCTAGTCAAGCCGATAGAATATCGTTGTAGTTTAAATCAATTAAATATTTTGTTTGGATTTAATTGATTTAAAAAGCTCAAATGATGTGTTTTCAAAGTCTGCATGTTATTCGCATTTTAATCAATACTATTATATTTTATTTTCAAGCAGAGACTCAAACTTTTTACTACTGACTGTCTCATTTATATTCCATCAACTGCTGAATAAACATTTTTACCATATTTCAGATATTTTTTATCTATACAAATAATAAATTTTCTTAAAAAAGTGTTTTCGATTTTCACAATCCTCAAATGAGTTTTCTTTCTACTTTCTGCATATTATGTAATATAATGTAGGAAATTATAGAGACATATATTGTTAAATTCTGAAGAATTCTATGATAAATGTAGTTAGGCAATTATATTGTATCAGTAACATATATTACAAATGGGCTTTATTTATAGCAAAATAATTTTTCATACATATTATTGCGTAATATATCTATTATGACAGAGTTGTTATTTATAAATCAAACTGGATATTTATATCAGAATAGAATCATTTCAAGCAACATAACTTTTTTTATTCGATTGAGAAAAAAATTGAACATTAAATAGTTAAAGTTTTACCTGGTCTTCCATCAGCACCTCTGTCTCCTTTAACACCAGGGTATCCAGCCGAGCATCTGCCACAGTCATCACCCTTCTCCCCTACAGCCCCAGGAAACCCATCTCGACCAGGTAGTCCCACGTCTCCTGATGGCCCTGGCAATCCTGAAGGACCAGGAGGACCAGGTGGGCCCACTATATTCCGACCATAACCGGGATACCCTTTATCTCCTGGAATATAAAATTACAATGAAAATAACATTCGAAACAAACGGTCACTTTGATAGATGGGAAATAAAGGTGGGTGATTCATGCTTATGCCCGCATTACCGCTATCATGCCATTGGTCTCAAAATTGCAACTCCCTTGACTTTAAGGTCACACAATAAAATAATGTACGTTATAATTATAAATTTGGTATACAATAAAATTAAAAATAAAACTTAAACTTATGCTTATTTTATAACAAATTATTAGTAAACTTTTTATTATTACTTGCTATTAAATGCATTATTATTATTTGTTATTAAACTTTTGCTTATTATTATTGTTACCTGAATTTTTACTACAAGTCCCCACTTACAGTAAAAATTTTACGTTATTAATTGTGTATTAGCTAGAATAAAGGATAATCATCTTTCACATCTTATTTTTCACGTTTGTTGATTTGTTTCAGTTTAATTTAGTTTAAGTTATTTTTATTCGAACTTCTAAAAGATATGAATTAGAGTAACGGAATTGTAAAACTATCTCAAGCCTTTTGTTAAACTACAGAGATGTATTTTATGCTATTGAGACAAGCTTAACTTTATAACTTAATACATATGCATCATCACAACTAATGTTTAATGTGCGCGCAAGAAAAAGAAGAAAAGAAAGTCTAAATAACTTTTAATCTCATATTAGATTTATCAGGTACCTATATAAAATCTTAATAGCTAAAGAGGTTTACTTTAAATTTGCTAATTTACTTGAGCATACCATATTAAACAAAATAATAATAATTCAATTAAATAATGCCAAAGATACTTTAAAAAATAGAATTAAGGAGTCAACAATGAGAGTACGTTTTTCAGGAGACAGCTACCGTTTTAAAAGTCAAAAATCGAAATTCGCCGAAATGTTTTTTTTTATTCAGAAACATTGCGTTTTGTATATGATTTTGTAGCTTTATTTGTCGTCTGTACAAATTAATCCACATGCTAGCTTCTCAAATTATTGAGATTGCATTGTTAGTGAGTGAAAATCTGATCACTAGATCAAAAGTTATTAAGGAATTTTTATTTTTTATTTTTTGCAATTTATACTGTTTAGTGTAGTAAGTTAAACAAATTATGCACTTATGTAAACAATTCAGAAACACTTATAATAGTCGTAGAAAAATGTAGTGAATTGCTTCAGAAGTTCAGTTTAAAATTGATATGATCTTTATACAATCATAATATAATAAATAACAGACATATATAATCGTAAACATATATAATCATATACATCAATTTGAGACATATATAATCGTAAATTTCCAAGTATAAGTGAACTAAGAAAATAACCTTTTGGTCCAGAGTCTCCAACAGGACCTGGTAAACCAGAATTTCCATCAAAACCCGGACGTCCTCTCTGCCCTGCTGGTCCCCTAACTGTGATTCCAGGCTCTCCTTTTGATCCTAGCGGTCCTTGTAAACCTGGGAAACCTGGTGAACCAGACATTCCAGGGAGACCATTTATTCCTATTGCAAAAGAGCATATTGTTATTTTAATCTATTATAATTCATAAATCATAAGAATTATAGTAATATTGAAAGCAAATTCTTACAAAGTGATTGAATATCATTAAGATATTTTACATTAAATAGGAAATTTTTTTAAAATTTTTAAAAATTTGGTAATATATTCTGCCATTACTGAGAATAGAAAAGAAAAGAAAAGAAAAATATGCGATAAATATATATTTAACAACAAGAAAAATCATGTATAGTGCGGCTTTCAAGAGAACTCCTCCAGACACTCGTCTCGCGTCGTGGCTGGTACTATGGTTACAAGGAAAGGTCACTTCGAATAGGGGTGTGGGGTGAATAGTTTTGTCCTAGCGTAGGTCGTCGTGAGTAAACCAATCGACACCTTTTTTTCTCCATTTCACCCTCATTAGAAATGTGCTCTCGCTTGTTACCAAAGCAGCAGACAGACCCAGATTTTCAGTCTGGAGGAGTTCTCCTCAAAGCCACATTATATAGGGGAGAGTGGGGTCAATTGTAACATTTTTTACTTAACTATTTTTAACTAACAAAAAATCCAATATATTATTAGTATTAATTGACAGACGAGTAAAGTAGACTATCCTCTACTAGAAAAAAAAACTTAATACCTTATTTTAAATGTTATTATATTAGTTATTAACAATTTTTGACAGTCGTGCACTTGTTACAATTGTCCCCACTTACGGGGTCAATTGTAACAGTTCATAAATTCAACTAAAACATAGTTAATTATACATATTATCATAGTTGTGATATATTTTTTTATTGATCAAAATAGTAGTGATATTTTAGGAGTAAAAATAATAATGAGCAGAGACCTAAAGGGTTAAACTTTTAACTTTAAGGGGTTAAAAATTTTAATTTATGCTGTGAAAGGTGACAAATAAAATAATGCACATGCAACATAATATAAATGATATAGGAAACTATTGGTGGTTCTTAAAGAGTTAAGTAATGGTTTGTAAACATAAGATTATTTATTTTCAGCTGTTACAATCGTCCCTTTACTTATTGTTACAATCGTCCCCAAGACGCCATTTCAGCTTCATTTGTTAAAAACAATGCTAGTTAATTAGCAAAACTAATCTTTTTTTTTTTTGAAATGTTAATTAAGGTGTCCACTTACATATTCGGTTAATAATTTTTATTTGTTTAAACAAAATTACTTTGTTACAATATAATATTCTAATACCAAAAAAAGTACTTACGTAGCGTGAAAATATCTTTTGTGATGTAACTCTTTCAAAAGTACATAAAAATGGTTGCCAGCAGGGGTGTACATGTAGATTTATTAAATACACCTTGTGCGCCACCTAGGAACCAAATCTAGAACCCGACACTCGAAATTTTTGCTCTGTTACAATCGTACCCTGTTACAATTGACCCCACTCTCCCCTACCTTTACAAATCCAACTTCTAAATTATGTGAGATATGATAAGAAAGGTAAAGTTTAGTTCTGGTAAAATGTTCAGGCTTTATATTTTTTATTTTATGTTTTGTTTTTCAATGTTTTAAATTAATGAATAATAAATGTTTTGCGTTTAAACTATATATTTCGATAATTATTTATTCATTTTTTACCTACTATAAAAATATTACAAGAAAATGTTTTTTATCTGAAAAAAAATATTATCTTCTAAGTTTTACTGTCAGAATTAAGTCAGTAAAAAGAAATATGCGATACTTACCATCTTCTCCTGGTTCTCCTTTAAAACTCATGCCATGTGGTCCGGTTTCGCCGAGTTGACCAGCTTCTCCTGGTGGTCCTGGTTGTCCTCTAAATCCTACTGGTCCTTGTCTTCCAGGTGCACCTTTGAAGAAATCATCGAAATTTTTTTTATTGTATAAAAGCAGAGTTTAAGTCAAGAAACAGTTTTAAAAAGATAAACGGTGTTATGAAATGCTGTTTTTTTATGTCTGTAAATATCTCAACTCTTTCATGCTGTTGGGACACCATTCCTTATATATATATTTTTTCAGATCCGTGAATTACAAGCAAAATTATATTTTTGTGCATTTTTAATTATAAGAAACAGTCTAATAGTTACTAATAATTAGATTATCAGAATTATATTAGCACTAAAATATAAAATTTAAGAAAATAGCTTGAAATTATTTTCGTTCATATTCAAAAATTTATCAATTGTTAATTTTGTAGATAAAAGTAATTTCAATGATGGATAACTTTTTAAAAAAAATATAAATAACACCTAATAAGAGCGAAATTGAAAAAAATATTGTTCGGAAATGAGTGGTGTTTGGAGGATATTTCCTTTAACCCAGAAAAAAACTCCGATGTTTTATGCTGTATTTCATAAATTATTAAAAGACTAAATATAATATTTTTCATTTATTTTGACCTAAATTAACACGAAATAATGAAAAAAAGTATGAAAATAAGTTTAAAAAATTCTGCTTTAAGAAGTTAACAGCTTACTAGGTATATTTTCCTAACCTATGTAGCATTATTTATATTTCATGAAATGAAATAATAAGACACATGAGTGAGTTTAAAATTGGGATTATAAAATAATAACTAATATTTTTAGGCAAATCTTTAGATCTTTGATTTGTCATTTAATTATTAGGACAATAATGTATGTTTCGTGTCAAAAAAGTAGTTTGTGAATCACAGAGATAAATTTATATTGATTATTGTGTTTACCTTGAACACCTGGATAACCAGGATCCCCTGGTTCTCCTTGGCTTCCTGGTGGTCCCGGAAGTGGTTTACCGAATTCAATGAATTCTCCAGGGGGCCCCTATATAGCAAAATCAGGCAAGTGAATATTTTTGAAATATAGTCCTTTTTAAACTAGATACTTGACTTTGAGTACATATAATAGTTCATTTTACATTGGCTAACACAACATTCATTTATTGAAGCATATTATATAATCTCAAGATGAAAATAAAATTATGCATAATACTTTATAAAAATAAACAAACCATATAAAATAGTTTTTACTGACATCATGCGAAACACTTTGCCAGTGAATTGCCAGTGAATACACTTGCACAGTTACAAACTTAATCTTAAGGCTTCTTTAAAGAATAGTATTGGTATTGAAATATAATAATAATAATAATAATAATAACTTACTTCGTAACCTTGAGGACCTGGGGGTCCAGCTGTGCCTAGTTGTCCTTGCATTCCCTAAAAAAAGAATAGAGTTTTTCTTTCTAAAATTTTCTTTGGATTTTTTATCCAATAAATAATAAAGTTCTACTGTGAATATCCCATTTACTCTTCGCATTCAAAGGCTCTGGCGAAAGCCATTTTAAATTTGGCTTTACACTCGCGGGCTCCGCAACGGAAACTTATTTCTAAGCAATTACTGCATATTTTACTGTATTGTGGATATTGCTCTCTAATTCAATATTTTTCGATTTCGAATTAAACATACATTTTTCATTATCAGGATCTCTAGTTAAAGCTTTGAAATTGTACTGGGTGATTTAAAATAACAAGCTAAAATAAAAGAGCTAAGTAGAAGAAAATACATGGAAGCATAGGATCACAAACGATATCAGCAACCACTAGAGAGATTTTAAATTTAAAAGAAAAACGAGGAATAATGACATGGCCAGCGCGATCACCAGATTTGTCTCAATATTTTTTCTTGTAAGAATTTTTAAAGTACTTATTGACAAAGCAGCCGTTTCATCACAGAAAGATTTCGTAAGAAGAGTTGTTGTGGCAGCAGGATATGTTCGAGATACACCTGGCATGTTTGAGAAAGATGCACCATTAACGTTCCAGGTGTCTGACAAAGCTTTGAACATCTCTTGTTGGTCACACTTTCGTAGAGTGCGGAAACGAAGTATAAGTAAAATGGTGTACAATGGTTTTTGTTTACTTGTATATTACTTATAATTTGCTGCTACTTCTAGCGGGTCTTGACCCCATCGCAAGTATGCGATTTCTGAATCTTATCGCATACTTGCTTCACCTTTTAATTTTGACGAGGTTACTTAAAATGACACTGCAGGTCTAGATAACCACTCCAACTAATCGTAAATGGAATACATTGGTCGGTATAAAACTGGACAACGTTTAAAATAAGACAAAGCATTACTTTTTTGAAAAATATATGCCTCAGAGTTACTTAGTTACATAACTGAACCCACGATACGTTTTGAATCTCAGGTAATATTAGTTAAAATAAAGCTTTTACTTTAAAATAATTGAATCGCTAATTATACCTGAGCTTAAAATGAGACAGTGGCCGCAGTAGTTAGTGAGGAATTTTTCTACCGTGTTTAATTCATTTTTTTTTTTTTTTTTGCATGATTAAAATTTATTTCATTCGCTTTTCAAAAACAAAATTAAGAACCAATGATTTTTTACGCCCTGAAAGAAACAAGAACACTCGTAATGAGTTTTCGTATTTTAAAATTAATTAATATTATAAGTTGCAAAGAATATAAGACTCATAAAATTTTGGAGTGAAGCACTCATTTAATCGATGAGTGTTTAGTTAATCATCGCAAACTTTTGTGAGCTAATAGTTTGTGAGTACGTATTAACGTCCATGATTGTTTATATCTATAAAAAGAATTTAAAAAGAATGCATAGTTAACGGAGATCAATTGTAAATCGAAAATGGCTAAAATTAATGTTAATAATCAGCTGGTCATTAGTTATACATTAGTTTTCTAATTTCGTTTTTAGTAATATTTTAATACTTTAATTGTTTTAATGCTAAAACTCTTACTCATCTTTCAAAAAGATAAACATTAAGTATCATGAGTTTATGAAATCATAAAATTTATTTGATTACCTTGAATCCTGGTTTTCCTTCTCTCCCTGTCAAGCCTGGATTACCTTTTTGTCCTCTTTCTCCGGAGGGTCCTGGGAATCCAGTTCTACCTCTCTTTCCCTGTTGGTAACAAAAGTCAATCCCAATTGTGTTTGAATTATATAACTTTGGAATGATCATAAAATTAAAATAAATGAAATCAAGTGTTATTTAACGTAGAAAAATAACATTATTGGCATAAAATAAAGGTCCAGTTTATCTAGAAAACCTCTTTAAATTTAAACATTCGAATAAACTTAATGAACTATTCTTTGAATTTATTTTGTTGAAAAAAATAAACTTTTCTCAGTTTTTACATTGTTATATTATTATAAAAGCATAAAAAACTATTCCTCAATAACATTTTGAATTAATTTCATTTTCTGCTATACCATGGAAATTTGCGCACACAGCAGTGTATAGATGTTGTTAAAATGTATTAAAATTANCGAAAGCCATTTTAAATTTGGCTTTACACTCGCAGGCTCCGTAATGGAAACTTATTTCTAAGCAATTACTGCATATTTTACAGTATTGTGGATATTGCTCTCTAACTAGATATAATTCAATATTTTTCGATTTCGAATTAGACATACATTTTTCATTATCAGGTTCTCTAGTTAAAGCTTTGAAATTGTACTGGGTGATTTAAAATAACAAGCTGAAATGAAAGAGCGAAGCAGAAGAAAATACATGGAAGCATAGGATCACAAACGCTATCCGCAACCGCTAGAGAGCTTTTCAATTAAAAAAAAAACGAGGAATAATGACATGGCCAGCAAGATCACCAGATTTGTCTCAATATTTTTTCTTGTAAGAATTCTTAAAGTACTTATTGACAAAGCAACCGTTTCATCATAGAAAGATTTAAGAAGAGTTGTTGTGGCAGCAGGATACGTTCGAGATACACCGGGTATGTTTGAGAAATATGATTTGCTCCCACTTTTAGCGGCTTTTGACCCTATGTCCCTACGCGATTTTTGAATCTTATTGCAGATCTGTTATTGCTTGTTTTAATTTTGTCCAGGTTATTTAAAATGACACTGCATGTCCACTCCAACTAATCGTTTATACATTGGTCGGTATAAAACTGGACAACGTTTGAAATAAGACAAAACATTGCCTTTTTTTTAAAAAAAAATGGATGTCTAAGAATTATTTAGTTATATAACTGTACCCACGACATGTTTTAAATCCCAGGTAATATGAATTAAAATAAAGCTTTTACTCTAAAAGAATTGAATTTCCAATTATTTATGGGCTGAAAATGAAGCAGTGGTCACAGTAGTTAGTGAGAAATTTTTTTACTTTATTTATTTATTTATTTTCTAATTTTATTTATTTTTTTTAAATTTATTTATTTTTGCATGTTCAAAATCTATTTCATTCGCTTTTCAAAAAAAAAAAAAAAATTGGAGCTAATGATTTTTTACGACGTGGAATAATCTAAAACACTAGTAATGAGTTTTCGTGTCTTAAAATTAATTTACATAATAAGTTATAAAAAATATAAAACTAATAAAATTTCAGAAGGGAGCCCTCCCGTAACAGATGAGTGTTTAGTTAAGCATTGCAGCTTTCGCAACCTAACAGTTCGTGAGTACGTATTGACGCCCACTATTGTTTATATCTGTTAAAAGAATCTAAATAGAATGCGTAGTCAACGTAAAAGATTAATTGTAAATCGAAAATGGTTAAATTAATGTTAATAATCAGCTGGTCATTAGTAGAACATTAAATTTTCCAATTTCGTTTTTAGTAATATTTAAATATTTTAATTGCCTTAGTGCTAAAACTCTTACTCATCTTACATGGAGTAAAGATAAACATGGAGTATCAAGAGTTTTTAAAATCTTAAAATTTATTAGATTACCTTGAATCCTGGTTTTCCTTCTCTGCCTGTCAAACCTGGATTACCTTTTTGTCCCCTTTCACCAGAAGGTCCAGGGAATCCAGTTCTACCCCTCTTTCCCTATTTGGAACAGAAGTAAATTCCAATTGTATTTGAATTATATAACTTTGAAATGATCACAAAAATTAAAATAAATGAAATCAAGTGTTATTTAACGTAGAAAAATAATATTATTGGCATAAAATAAAGGTCCAGTTTATCAAGAAAACCTCTTCAAATTTAAACATTCGAATAAACTTAATGAACTATTCTTTGAATTTATTTTGTTGAAAAAAATAAACTTTTCTCAGTTTTTACATTGTTATATTATTATAAAAGCATAAAAAACTATTCCTCAATAACATTTTGAATTAATTTCATTTTCTGCTATACCATGGAAATTTGCGCACACAGCAGTGTATAGATGTTGTTAAAATTTATTAAAATTACATTTAAACTATTTTAATTATTATGTTAAAAAAAATCAAATCTATTTTTCTATAAAGAATATATATGTTATTACTTCGAGTATAGTGAAACAGTTTATATAATTTTGCCACATGATTGGTCAAATAAAAAAATGTGGATAAATATACGAGTTTCAACAAGTTTTAGAATTTGATAAAATGAAAAACACTATTTTAAAGAATTCATACTTTAACAGTCTTACTCTAATGTATTTGTGTATTATTAAAGAATTTGTAACTTAACAGTTTTACATTAATATATTTGTATATTAGTGTAAATTCATCGTTTAAATATTGAACGTGTTCAGATAAATATTTAATTATAAAATATTTTTGTGAAGGTAACTTTAATACCTAATATAAGTAATGAAATACCCTTCTACTACTTCAAATTTCTGTAGTTCAGGAAAAATATTTGTCTTAGTGGTAGCCAAAAAAAGGTAAAGTTAAATTTTTTAATTAATTAGAATTAAAAGAATTTTGTACTACACAGAAATATTTTAAGCAGATATCTAAGACACCGAACGGGCATATGATTATGTTCTTTAAATTCTGATAAAAGGTTTAAAGAAATTCTATTTGTTTGCAAAAAATTAAGTTGATATGCTCTCTACCACTGAGAATAATATTTTGCAAACACCTCAAATGTTGGAGGGTATGAGTCGTGATAAATATATTTTTTGAAATTTTAAAACAATTAAAATTTTAATTCTTGTTTGAGTAATATTTATAGCTTATAGCATATATGTTTAAATGGTCATAAAAATAGTTCAGAAATTGAATTAAATTGAAAAATATATTACCCTTGGTCCCAATTCTCCTCTTTCACCCTTGTCTCCATCAGGGCCTTTCTGTCCCTTCGGACCCTAAAGAAATATAAAAAGTATTGTTAATTAAAAAATATGTTTATGTGTAGTTTCATCATAATGTTTAATTACAATACTAACACATTTCTTTTCATCTTTCTTTATTTCAATCAATACCTTTTATACGTTTTTTAATACATTTTTTGTTCTCCCATTATTGTATCCTTTTACGATTTTTATAGAATGAGAATTACAATTTACTAGCAATGACATGTCAAATTTTAACGATACATTCATGTCATAAGGGTCGAATCGTCATGGATTGGTTCGAGGAACATTCCAGTAACTTTCAAGTCATGTCTTGGTCCCCAAATTCACCTGACCTTAGTCCAATAGAGCATTTGTGATCCTACTTGGAAAACCAAATTCGTGCTGCAACACTATCCCCTCGCAATGTGAGGGAATTTCAGGACCAGTTGGTGAGCGCTTGGTACCAGATACCTCAGACTACCTACCAGCACCTTGTGGAATCAATGCCACGGCGGTTGCAAGCAGTTTTGAGGACTATAGGTGGTCCTACATGTTATTAGCAGGGTGGTCATAATGTAATGGCTGTTCGGTGTATATTCAGTAGCTTTCTAAATTCCTTTGAATTGCGAATTAGTATTATGCGGAAAATAAATTTTTTATTCACTATATACTTTAAATGCATTTTCAGAAGAACGTAGGTTTTGAAAATAATCTTTTTATGTTAACACACATTACAAAAAAAGTCTGTTATAGAATTCCTTGAAACTTCGTTCTCAGATTTTGTATGATAGTAACAATGTTTCGAACTAAAAGCAAAATATTTTGATATTTTTTATGTTACGATTTGTTGCATAGCTGTTAAAGTGGTATAAAATGTTTTGCAGCTTTTGTATTCAAATATGCCTTTAGTTTGAAAAGAAAAAAAAACGTTTAATAAATTTTGCATTATATTACATTAGATTCATAATTTTAGGACCTCTGATGATAAAAAAAAATTAATTAGTGTAGTTTTCAAAAAAGAAAAAAAATTGCGCCGAACGCAATCGAATAATTTTGTGATAAATATAACAACTGAAAAAATCCTACTATTTTGTACCTGATTGCCAGGCCTGCCATCATAGCCACGAACACCATCATCACCTTTATCTCCCTAAAAATGTGATTTGCAAAAAATAGTAAAGCATAGTTTAGAAGTTAATCAAATAATAGTACAAAGAATTTTTTTGTTACTCGGTCTCCGGATTCACCGGGTGATCCTGTAAGTTCATCTTCAGGTTTTACAGCTTCTGGAATTCCTGGTTTGCCAATATCTCCTGTTTGACCTGTTTCACCCTAAGAATTAGTTAAGAAAGATATTTTTTTTTAATAAAAATAATCCTGAACATGCATGATCCATTTTTACAAATTGTAAAAAAAAAGATGACGTTTTTTTTAATCAAAATTAGCATTCCTACTTTCTGTCCTTTTTGACCCCGTACACCCTCTCCTGTTGGACCACGTCCACCTTTGTCTCCAGGATAACCTTGGACACCCTATACAAATTAAACAATTATTCAGAAAATTACAAAATTTAATAACATTTAATTCATGAATAGCTTAAAATGTAAAGGAAACAGTCATCTAAAGTATTTTTCTTATATAAGTTATTTTTGGCTTACAGGGGGTCCTGAATCTCCTGTTATTCCATTAGCACCGCGTGATCCTGGATATCCAATAGGTCCCTAAGAGGAATATTTCAATGATTCATTAAAACGTCACTTTAAAAATATTTATATCAACATCAACTATGACAAAAAATGATACCGGAAATCCTGGTCTTCCTGGTTCTCCTGGTTCACCTCTAATGCCTAGAGAGTTTATTCCTCCTTCTCCAGGATCTCCCTTTTAAAGAAAATTTTTAAAATTAATTATTTTTATAAATTGGGAAACTTTGTCATTTTAAGCAATTTTTATAGGATTTTAAAATTAGAAACTTGGAGTTTGATAACCTCCATTTTTTATTCTCTCGATGTTGAAGACAGTTGTCTCTAGAAGACATTTCTGCCCTTTATGTTTCAGAAACTTTTCAAGGCATTAGAAATAACTTTATAAAAAATCTAGTTAAGAGTTTGGTTTTATAACCAATTTAGTAATTAGTTTAGTTGATTTTCACGATATTTTAAATATGCAGCCTGGCCTCCAAGTTTTTTAAAATATGTTTCTTAGTGCTTTGATAAGGTCCGATAAAAGTGAAGACAACTATCTGATGAAAAAAACATTACGCCTTGCATTGTTTTTTTTTCTGGTCCTCATCAAAGTGGCAGAAATCATTTTATAGAAATCTGGTTTAAGTAATCCGTCAGTAAAATTTAAATAATTGTTGAAGAGCCGTGGTGATTCAGAGTATAGAGTGATAGCCTCCCAATGAGGAGATCGGGTTCCAATCCCAGCAATGGCTGGTTGATAGGAATTCCGTACCTGGGTCGTACCGACCGCAGTGATGGCGTAAAATATCCTCAGTGGTAGACAGATCCTAGGTTAGAACCTTGCTGTTGGTCCAACCTCTCTCTCTTTTCCTCTCTATGTAACGCAAATGTATGTTAATGCCATCAGAAAGTTCTCCACAAAGGCAGATTTCTCCAGATAATTGATCCTTGAGTTCTCTTGTCTTCTGGATTGGGTTCAACATTACAAAACTACAGAGTTGAATATTGGTAGTCGTAAACTCAAAATTAGGTCGGCTGTTCATCGACGGTGATAAAATAAAAAATAAAATNTTTTTTCTGGACCTCATCAAGGTGGCAGAAATCATTTTATAAAAATCTGGTTTAAGTAATCCGTCAGTAAAATTTAAATAATTGTTGAAGAGCCTTGGTGATTCAGAGGATAGAGTGGTTGCCTCCCAATGAGAAGATCGGGTTCCAATCCCAGCAATGGCTGGTTGATATGATTTCCGCACCTGGGTCGTACCGACCACAGTGATGGCGTAAAATATCGTCAGTGGTAGACAGATCCTGGGTTAGAGCCTTGCGGTCGATCCAACCTCTCTCTCTTTTCCTCTCTATGTAACGCAAATGTATGTTAATGCCATCAGAAAGTTCTCCACAAAAGCAGATTTCTCCCGATAATTGATCTATGAGTTCTCTTGTCTTCTGGATTGGGTTCAACATTACAAAACTACAGAGTTGAATATTGGTAGTCGTAAACTCAAAATTAGGTCGGCTGTTCATCGACGGTGATAAAATAAAAAATAAAATAAATATAATTGTTGAATGCATAGATACTTTTTGTCCCCAGTATCCAGGATTTCCATCTCGACCCTTGGGACCTAGTCTGCCTGGTATACCTGGTGGCCCTGGGCGACCCTAAGAAAAAAGAGTAAACTTTCTGAATGATAAATCTGAAGAAACAATCGATTAAATGACAGTTGACATAAAGTTGTAGAATACTAGGAATTTATTAAATTAAAGGTTATTAACTTACATCAGTTCCATTACAACCTGGAAAACCACGTTCTCCGGGTGGTCCATCACTTCCAGGTAAGCCCTGTAAAGCAAAATTTATGTTCAATAATGGTTGCAACCTATGTCTGATAAAAGAATATACCATAAATTCACTGTATCGAGTTGATCTCAAAAATATTGTGTACTTGGATGTTTTGTACCTATGATGGGAAATATTTTACTCACAGGTACTCCTGGTGTACCTTCAAAGCCTGGCATGCCATCTTCTCCCTGAAGAAAGAAAACAAAAGTTATAACTAGAATACTATTTGTAATATTTTACATTCAACATACTCGAATATCGCCAATAAAGAACTTAAATCAAAATTTAAATTGTATGATATTTACTTATTTACTATGTAAAATTAAATTAAACTAAAATTAAGACATAATTTACATTTATTTCTCAATAATTAATTTATCTCATAATTTATGATGAATAAGAAATAATTAAATTGCTGAGAATGAAAATAGTTTGAGTCCGGATTGTAAAAATTGTAACAAACTTTAGTAACAAAATAATAACATTAATAAATTAATAAAACTTGTCAAAAATGTTAAAAGCTGTTGAGAAATTAAGATAAGAAACTGAATTATTTTTATCTTACTCTAATGCCTTTAGGACCATCAGCTCCTGGATATCCAATGTCTCCTTTATTTCCTCTTTTTCCAGGAGGTCCTTCTGGCCCTATGGAACCAGGATGACCTGGTGGACCTTGCAGTCCTGGTATCCCTGGTGAACCCTGATGAAAATTAGGAAAAATTATGAGCTTCATAAATTGTTTTTAGAACTTCCAACTTTTATATCTTAGATATTGGAGTATGTAACAAAGGAATTTTAATATCTGCTATTTTTGGTACAAATAAACTGGAAAAAATAATTGGTAACGTACAATTTTGAATTATACTTCGCGTATATTTTACTTGGTAGTGTTTTCGAAGATAAAAAATAATGTCGAGTAAAGAGTTCTTTTATCTTTAACAATTCTAATTTTAAAATATCGATTAGAGGAAATTTCATATAAAATTTGAAATTAGTAAGCTTCTTAGGCTCGTATTAAATTATACTTAGTTAGTATTTTATTTTCGTTTAGTGACATGCTCAACTTGGTAGTTAGGTATTTCGTTTACGTCGCACTAGAGCTGCACTCTGGGCTATTGGCGACAGTCGGAGAAACAGACCTGAGGATGATCCGAAGACATCCATCTGAAGAGGAAAGAAATTTTCTCCAGATCCCAGTACCCATGGTACTGGTAAGTGATCGACCACAGGACTTTTGATTCCACAGATTTTACGAGTAAGTATACCGCCTTTACTCGGTGGGTCTTAGCGGAGTCGAGGATTGAACTCCGGCCCCTCCGGACCGGAGTCCTATTTTTTAACTACTCAGGTACCATGTGGCATTCTCAAAGTAGACTTTTTGAGCAAAATGCATAGTCTCAAAAAGAACACATCGTGCACTCATTTTGTTGTTTAAGTGAGAGTACGCATAGTCTCAAAAATGAGTTCATGGGGCTTTGAAATCCGACTTTATTTGTTTCTGAGCTTCGACACATTTTTTGCTTAATTTTGAGAAACCTTCTTTTGCAGAAGTTAACATACTGAAAGTCTCAAAAGCTATGTAATAATTTTCATAAAAACAATTCTAAAAGCAAAATCGGAAGGAAGAAAGGGGGTCATATTTAGATTAAGGAGGTTATTTTTGCGTCAAAAAATCAACTGGAATGTTTTTAAGGTTCAATATTTTTTCCTCCTTTTTTTGGTTAATACTTTATTTTATTTTGGTGATGCAAAAATATTCAATTTTATTTTTTTCCCTTTATGCTTATACATGAAACTTATATTTGTACAATAAAGCTATTTTTTTTCTTAAAAATATGAAATTAACACTATTATGAAGACGGTAAAAGAGTTATTTTGTTTATTTTAAGTGAAAAAAATTTGAAAATGAATCCATATTGTAAAAATGCTACAACTCTTTTTTTTCTTTCCTGCTAAGCAATATTTCTGCCCAGAAAGTTCGGTAAAAATAAACCAATTGATAAAAGAAAACAATTTCCTTCTTTTAAATTTTTTTTCAAATCTCAGTTTCGTTTTTAACAATTTCCCACTAAATTAAATTTTTGGAAAATAAAAGCAATTCTTCTCGTGAAGTGATTCAATGTCAACTCATGAAAATCTTACATATGTAAAGAATAAATAACAAGCAATGAATATCAGAGTTAAAATTCCATAATAATTTTATTTTAAGAAATAGCAGAAAAGTTGTTTATGTATTAAATTAAGCGTTAAGAAAAACATGTAAAGCTTACGAATGGGCCTTTGTCTCCTGTGCAAATACATGGCTGCGTTACGCATCCTTTACATGCCTAAAAAAATGAAAAATACAAATGTACAAAATACTAAATAAGTTATTATAAAAATTTAAGTTACATAAATTTATAAACATAATATGTGAGATATATAAATATTGAAATAATAACCAATTATAACCAAATGAATAATTGTTTATATTTAATATCTTGACCTCTGGAATTGAATGTCTTAATAATTTTGTTGCTTCATGAACTGTAACATTGTTTATTCTTTCTCTAAATTACTAATAGTATAAACAATTTGCATCAAATCATTTGACGTGCATTTTAATGAAGTTAACCACAGTACATTTTATTGTTTTCTATACAATTGTTATTAAAGTAATTGTTTCAAATAGAGCATTCAATTTAAGTTTAAAAAATGCCTTTAATATTAATAAGTGATTGGAAAATTTTATTGGACAGTTTAATACCTTGCTCATGAAATTGTTTTTAGTAAATTTATATTTAAATAGGTCGGTATGCGTACGAGTAATTTGAATGCATACCGACCTTTTAACAATTAGATGCTATATTTGGAATAGCACAGTAAATCAAATTATGAAGTTTTACTCAATGAAGTAAATTATTCGAAGGGCTAGTGTAACTTTACAAATTTTTAAACTAAAGAAATTGACACATTAACAAATTGTAAAAAGTAATTTTCTATTAAAATTTTGATCTATATATTTGTGGGTCTTAATTATTAGTAAATTGCCAAACATTATAAAAGCCAAAATGGATTATTAATAAATTATTAATAAATAGCCAAAGGGGAGCAATATGAAAAATATTAATTTATATCAATAGTATGGAATTATATGTTCCTAAATTGATAGGAAAGCGATTTTTTAATGATTTGACAATCGGTTAAAAAAAGTTATTCAAACAAGTGCCCTCTTATAAAAATCTAGAACTAATTTTTGTTTTCCTATAGCATCTGCATAGTGTCTACCAAAAGTTTGATCTTCGAAGGTGGGTCCTTAAAATCTTACACATAAATAAAAACTGAATTTTATTATTTTTAAACCAGAAATCTCTTTGAGGATTTACACATTCAACAAAGCAGCTTATAAAATTAGATTAAAAACTATTACTTAGTTTATCATTTTTAATTATAATTAAATTTTCCAATCCCATTATGAATTATATCTATTAATATTTATTTAATTTTTTTAACCGATAACTCATCTCCTTTAATGAACAGTTACCAAAGGTCAAATTCAAAACAGAACATTAGGTCGCGTGATTGTTATGGCCGCTGATTTTGGATCGCTGCTTAATAATCATTGGATTTCATTTCATTTGGAACCCTCTGGGACAGGGATAGCGAACCAATGGCACCCGATGCAATATTTTGGGCATGCCACCGATCACATTTGTTATTACACTATGAATTGTTATTACACAAATGTTATTACACTATGAAGCATATGTAACAATTAAATTGAAATTCACAAAAGACACAAAATAATAAACAATTATTAGTAAAAAAATTAACAATTAATGCTAAAAAAACAATTAATAACCATAAAAAACAAGCTAACCATAAATGACTAGCAAAAAAAATTGACAGTCCTGCTTAAACTAACATCTTACAACCTAATATAAATTATCTGTCATCTAATCTGCAACAACAGAAGTCACACTGATGTTACTTTAATTTGTATTACGCGTATAACTGAGACATTGCAAAATGTTTTTTTTTTAAAGCAAATAAAGAGTTTTGAGTTGATAGTATTTAGTATTATTATTTTCTCAATAACTAGGTAGTCAAAATTATTTGACGGCATGTCTATGACCTCATTAAACAACGTTTCAGAAAAAAATGGCTCGTTGGTGTATAAAGGTTCGCCACCTCTGCTCTAGGAGAAAGAATAATTTAAAAATTAATATTTTTAGGTAATTTATTCCTTTTAAAAATAATTGAAAACAGCCTCTATAGTAATTGTTTGAAATATCAAAAGTTTGTAAGTTTTTATTTTATATTTCTTTTAACAATACGTCATTGATGATTAAAAGAAAAAAAAAGAAAGAATGACTAAGAATTTAATTCCTGAGAATGTGGAGGCGAGAGAAAGCAATGCAAACGGAAACAGAACGCAGCTGGGATTTTGAAAAAAGCTATTTCATGCATCATTTACGTAGCTGAGACTAAACATTTATAATTCTTTTGACCTTTTTATTTTCTTCTTCTTTTTTAATTAACACGAACTGATGAATGAGTTCTTTACCAAATTTATTTACTAATTTATTAACTGGAAATCATTTTAATATTTTTTAACTGATAAAGATGTTCTTGCTTTCATGCAATGCAACTAAATAAATTTGTTTGGATTGTAAAACTTGATATTTGACGCATAGCTTTTCACTGAAATTACCAAGCATTATACTTCAAATAAAACACACAAAACCTTTGTACTGCTTCCTTCATATGTGTTCATGAGTCATAAGTAGCTGATTAGAATAATTTCTTCGGAATTCCGGAAGCAAATAAACTATTTCCTTAATAAGTCAAGTGGAAACAAACATACCTTCATAAATATTTCAAATAATTTTTCTAATTAAAAATGACAGTAATGATAATATAATTTTTTTATAAGTTTATTCTCATTAAGAAGATAGTAGCATACTTCATTTAATCTGCCACCTTTCTGTAAAATTAAAAAAAGCATTTTTTATTGATAAAAGTCTGAAGCTAAGATTGCAGTGACGATTCAATTAATTCATCCTTTTAATGTATTTATGCGTGAAAGTAACTTTTCAAACTAGATACCTTTTATAAGTTCGGTTGCTCTTTTTTGATAATGTAACTTAATTTACTCCATTTGCAGCTTTTCAGGAACCCTAACAAAGTCATTATGAAAATATATAAAACATTTTCATCATTTTTTCAAAATTCCGGAAACGATTATCAAATGTTTCTTTAATAAGTATCTTCATATTATTAATATGTTTCGAGAAATTCTTAGGTCTGTTGTAAAATTATTTAACAGAAGAAAGGTTGAGAATTATTATTGCAAAGTTGTCATCCTTGTTAAAAAAGTTATGGAATTAAAAACATCGATTTTTAAATATCTTGTTCTTTAGTTTTTACTTTGCTGATTAAGTTTTTTTTGATAAATCTACTAAAAAACCAGGTCTAGCAACGCATCATCATTACTTAATTTAAGAATATATTCTTGTTTCTCTTTCAAATATATAATCATTTAATAACAATAATTAAAAATTTTATAAGTCATTTTTAACTTTTTAAACACATTGTAAATTGAAATTCTCCTTTTTTTGCTCTATTTTGTTCTCAGGCAACTGAAAATAAAAGTTTCAATAAAACAATTGGACAGGTTTCACTATTTAACGTGACTGGTGCATGTTGGCCAGGTCTGGTTTAGTTCGCATTGGACATTTTCTTTAAAATTTAATTATTTATCTTTTAATAACTAAAACTCAAATTTTGAGCTGTATTCTCTATAAAGATTATGTGTTTATTTATAAAATTTCATTTTCTTATTCAATATTGATTTCAAATTGTGATATATTTCAATAATTTATTTATATGTTTAAAAAGGCATATAGAAGAAGATATATCGAAGTAGATACATGGAACAGAAAAAGTTATATAGAATAGAGGAATTTCAGAGATCTTATTATTGATAAATGATGATAATAATGATGATAAATGATGATAATAATGATGGTAAATGATGATAATAATGATGATAAATGATAATAATGATAATAAATGATGATAAATTATGATAATAATGATGATAAATAATGATAACAATGATGATAAATAATGATAATAATGATGATAAATGATAATAAATTTTGATAATGATAAATTATGGATAAATTTTGGAATCGCATTTGGATGGCATTTTGGAATATCGCATTGAACATAGTGATCTATATTTCAAATTTAAAAAGTTTTACTAATTAGTTATATGAAATAAATTTTTTAAAATTTAATATATCTGAAAAAAAATGCTAATTAATTAATTTTATTTGAGTCAAAAAAGTTATTTTTTAACTGAAAAATTACAATGTTTTTTTCTACTACTTATAAAGTGAAATACTACTTAGCTTATACTATTACTATTACTGCTATACTATTACTGCTTATACTATACTTAGCTATACTTCTACTACTTAGCTTATTAAAATATGAAAAAGATTAGAATTATGAAATGTTGTAAAGTACAAATTTCGTTTGAAATGAACGATAAAATATAAGAAAAGTTAAAGAAAAAGAAATTCTGTTTTGCATTAGTAACATAAGTATGCAAATATTTCAGGGTAAATAACTATTCTCAGAAAAACGAAATCGATTCCATGCTATAAGTCAGAAACTTTTATCAATCGTATATTAGAATTTTTAATCTTTACTTCAAGATACTTGAGAAAAAAATATGAATCAATCTTCTCAACAAGATCCTGGAATATATTTTACATTCGTCATAATTTATTCATGAGCTAAAAATGTGAAAATGCATGCGTCATTCTTAGCTCCAATAGGAGGGAAAAAGAGAAGTGTTCAAGTTGATAACAATAACATTGCATTTGTAGAAAATAACTTTACTTAAAATGGCAAACGAAGATTATAAAAAAGTATAAGTGACGCTACCATCTGACCAAATCGTATTTTGAAGGTAAAAAAATATAATTTAAACGCATATATATTTTTCTAAACTTATTTTTTTTCACATGCATAACATTTCCTTTAAGATAAAAAAAATGCTCTATAATAAAATGATATTTTTTAAATTGTTTTCTAAAAATGTGTTTAACAATGTGTCGAAACATCCAGAAATGTCTTAATGTCTTTATCATTGCTAATAACGTGATCGTAGGTCACATGAATTTTTCATGAGCATTTTCACATTTCACAATTGCTCCACAGAGAATCCGAAATAAATTAGAAAATTTAAATTAGTTTTTTTCTGTCATATTGCTTTTGTAAAAAGACTAAAATAATAGGTCATATTAGGTTCACGCGGTTCTGATTAGGTATA